CATTGTCCATGAAGAAATCGGACACATCAAGGGTAGGACATGGAGCATTTTCTTCATTAACATAATTTGCTTCTGCATTTTTCTCTTTGCCTTTTACAGAAGTCTGGTAAAGGTCTACCAAATGTTTGGCCGTACGACAAGTACGTCCCCAATGCCCTGTCATGCCACATCTGTAACACGTGTCTTTTCCTTTTGAAGGAATTTGTTTGTGGCTTCCAGATGACTGTCCCTTCTGTTTTTCAAAATTTTTGAAATTACTGTTTCTTTGAAAATTATTTCTACCACGTCCTCGACCTCGTCCGTGATAATTTCCAGGACCTCTTCCACGGCCATTGTAATTTCCACGTCCACCTCTTCGTGTAGCATTTGCCTCGGGTGGATAAGAACTTGTTGCATTTGCCTCATGATGAGTGGCCAAAGACGCAGTTGGTCTAAGATTATGATTTTTCAACAAAAGATCACTATTTTGTTCCGCAACAAGCAATACACTCATTAATTCATTAAACTTTTTAAAACCTCTTTCACGATATTATTCTTGCAACAGTATGTTGCTTGCATGAAAGGTAGTGAGTGTTTTTTCAATCATCTGTTCATTAGTGACTGGATCTCAATATAGATACTATCTCATGCATGGTTGAATTGTAATCAATTGCGGATTTGAAATCCTGGAACCGTAAATTTGTCCAGTCAAATAATGCCTTAGGAAGGAGCACCCTATTGTGGTGTCCAAATCTTTCATTAAGGCAATCCCATAATTCTTTGGGATCTTCAACCATCATGTACTCAGTTTTAAGGCCTTCATGTAAATGATGTCTTAGTAACACTAAGGCTTTTGCCTTTTTTTGTTCAGTAACAGGTTTTTCAACCGTCATGGCAGAAGTGGTAGTATCATATCAGTTGTTTGACGAGAGGGACTTTTATTATCTTTAACAGTGTGCTCCAACCCTTCAGCTTTTAAATTCATCATGGCATCCACTTTCTATTCCAAAAATTTCTTTCCAGATAAATCTAGGATGCTGAATTGTCTTTTCATAAGATCTCCCATTTTAACTACAACAAATCATGTGATGATTAGTTTATAATAATAAATCATATGTACAACACATATGTTTAATTCTTCCATATTTAGAGTTTGTTAATGAAACACGTGATAATTAAATTTATTTAACAATAATAAACCATAAATAATATAATTCTTTTCTCCCCCTTGGTTTATTATTGTGAGTAATTATATAATTAGGCAAAAATAAATCATATTAGTCGCATAAATGGCAAAACGACAACAACAACAACAACAACAACAGTAGTAATTATAATTATAATAATAATGGTAATATTATACAATGATGATTAACAACAAAACAACATAATAAAACAAAAAACATGCTTTTAATCTACTAAACCGACAAAATAAACAAACTTCACTTGTACATCATGACAAAAATTAATATTGCTACTAACATAACTACAAGCGCCATAATTAAAAGAAGATATTGTTTTATCTTCCTTAAATCTTCCTCAAAGGTGAAGGTGTGGGTGTTTTGGTTGCCGTCGGGGAACATATTGGAGAGGAAGGGGTGAAAGAAATTTTTGGGTGATTTTTGGATAAAGAAAAAAGATGGGAGAAGATAAGGGGTTTTTGGTGAAAATCGGGGGAAAATCTAGCTTTTATAGAGGTAGATTTATCTGTTACTGTTTTGTACAATTGTAAAAATATCATATAATAGTTTAATGTACTGGCAAAATTATGATCCAAATATAAAAATTTATAATTGTAAAAGGTTATCACACTGGGAATGCAAGCCATAGTGGTCCGAGAGCCCTAATATCTACAAAAGATCATGGGTTCGAAAACTGACTAGGAATTGGTGCTGATAACGTGTTAAAAGATGACTTTCTAATTATGGGATGGTAATGTATGTTTGTATGAATAGAAGAGAGCAAAAGAACATATAAAGAATCGGTTGCTATTTTCTTCTTCTTACCTACATAGTTCACAAGATTGTGAACATATTTATAGGCAAACATTGCCATCAAAATACTATACATGATTGTACCTTTAGACAAAGTATTGTCCATAATAAATGCATGTCATGAGCTACAAGTTATGTGAACTTCATTTTGGCTCTTTCTCAACACTTTATTCTTTTTTTGACATTTTTTTTCTTCTTCTTCTTTTTTGTACTTTGACATCAATCTTCAATACTCTCTCTCTTAATTCTCAACCACTTTTTTCTTTCTCTTTATCTCTCTCTCTAACCCCACATGCGAATTTGTACTCCCAATTATTAATTTTACGAAATCTTTAACTTTCTTAATTCCCATGCAAAATGAGAAATAGGCATTATTATAAAAGCACGGAGGGAGTAGGATTAATCCGAACTTGCTCCATCCGTCCAAAATACTTTCAATTTTTGCTTATTTTTTATTAATCCGAACTTTATAACCAATTTGCTTTCATTTATCCCAACCGTCCATCCAACTTGATATAATAAATTATCAAACACGTGCCAATATGTGATTGGTCCAAGAAAAATTTAAAAATTAATTTTTTAAAAAAAAAACCAAACCCCTACCCAGCCAGTGGTGGGTGGCAGCCCCAGCCACCTCCGGCAGGCAGCATCTCATGCCACCGACCACCCTCCTCCCATCCTTATCCCCATCTAACTCCGACCACCCCCCTCCCAGCCCCATCCAACTCCGACCACCCTCTCTGTTTCCGCCCCCTTCTCCATCCGTTTCCGCCCCCTTCCCTACTGGATTCCACCCCCTTCCCCTTCCCTTCACCATCGAATTCCGACCACCCCCCCTCCCATCCCCATCCAATTCCGACCGTCCCCCTCTTTTCCCCCACCGTTTTCGCCCCTTCCCTTCCACGCCGGATTCCGCCCCCCTTCCCTTCCCCGTTGAATTTCGACCACCACCCTCCCTTCTCCGTCGAATTCCAACCACCCCCTAGTGGTTCCGAGAGTGGGGCTAGGGGAGGAGGCGGCTGGGGCTGAGGGAGGGGGAGGTGGTGGTGGTGGTCGAGGCTAAGGGAGGGGCTGCAGAATTTTTAATTTTTAATTTTTAACCAATCATGTTGCGACATGTGTGAAAATAATCCCCAGTCAGCAAGGTTTACCTCTTCAACTGGTTCCAAGTCACTTGGGAGTGATAAAATTTAATTGAGTATAAAGTTCTGATTAATAAAAAATAAATGAAAGTTGGGATTATATATTTTGAGCGGACGGAGCAAAGTTCGGATGAATCCCAACAAATTTTCCTAGTCACTATTCATAATTTAAATAAATAAATTAACTACTTATATATGCTCGTATGGTGACATAAAGTCGAATTAATGTAATTGTGGGATAGGTTCTAGTAGCTTTTAAGTTTTAACGCACATTATTCTTCCTTTTTTTTTAAAAAAACTTAAATATATTTAATTACAATTTACAAGAATATATTTATTCAATTTATTGATTGTTGAATAATTTTATATTTAAAGTGAAAGTTTGCATGATAAGTTCAACATTTTGATTACTTTAATAAGTATACGGCCAATCTTTTTTGTTCTTTTCGTTTGGAATCTTTTGGTGTACATGAAAAAAAAACATAGTGAGATATTTTAAATGTTAAACTTGTGCATTGGCAAACATTAAAAACATATGTCAATTAAAATAAGTAAGAAAGAATTTATGTATATAATATCTCCATCATGTCATGCTCTTACCCTTGAAAAAAACACATGAATTAGTCTTTTAAGGGAAGAAGAACTTAGGGAAGGGGGGTGGGATCGGTGGGAAAAGGGGTGGGACTAGCTTCGGCATGGAAGGGGGTAAGCAGGGGGGATCAGAGAAACGGTCTAACGATTCTTTGTAGCCAAGAAGATGAATTTCATTTGATTCATTTGAACGTATTTGAAAACTTGAAAACCTTTGTAATCTTGCACAATTCTTTACTAACAAATTAATAATAGTGCAGAAGAAGATAGATTTTTTTTAATAAACCTAACTCAATTCTCTAAGAGAAACGAACAACTACACCAATGATGACCAACAACTCCACCAACGACCAACAATTCTACCACGGGGAGACTGGTACATCTACATTATTATTATTCATGTAGATTTATTGAAATCAACAATGAAAATTAAAGCAAAACAAGGAAAATGGGTCGAAAATAGTCTAATTTCTTAGATTATTCTGTCTAACGGCCAAAAAATATTAAACCCTATAGGAAAAGAGGAGGAGAAGGGAGATTGGGAGCGGCTATGGTTTTGATAGTATCGGTTATACTAGTAAATATTGTGTTGCATTAGCTATATGACTAATTAAATTTGATTAAGTTATTTGATTTCATTAAAAACAAATTTTTCACATATAATAATTAGTTGATAAAAACATCTTTTTAATTCCCTTAAAAGTTTAGTAAAACCATGGTTATGATACTAATTTTAATACTTTCTCCGTTTTTTTAGATGTATTATTTTAGGAATCACCGATTCCCAGACAATTTTTAGAGATGAGAAATACAGAGAGAAGAGAAAAAAAAAGGACCCATATGATAGGAGAAAGATAGAGAAAATTTACTAACTACTAGTAAGGAGTCGTTTGGTTCATTAAGCTGGAATGGATTGGTATGGATTCTCATACTTGGGTGGTATGGATTCTATATCCAATACCAATCTAAAGATGTTTGTTTTAATTATGGAATGGATTCTCATACTTGAGTGGTAGTATAGATTTTGAATCATTGGAGAGAGATGGGTATGAGATTTTAGGGGAATGAGGTGGAATTAAAATCTCCTGGGTATGAGATTCCATACTTAAGTAGCCCAACCAAACAAATAAAACCATTAAATCCATTCTAACCCATTCCAAAAAGTTCAACCAAACAACCCTAAATAGGATAATGATGCATCTAAATTAAAACTTTTATATATAAAAAGTGATGCATCTATAAAAAATGGAGGAAGTATAATCCTTTTTCGCGAGTTTAGAGAAATTCTCATACGGAGTTCAATAATGTGTACAAAGTGCATGTATCGAACCTTTGTTTTAGGATCAAAAGAAGACTTTACTAATTGAGTTGCACTACTCCACAGTCCACACTACAAAGAGATGCAAAATAATGTACTACGTACTAGATATTCAGATGTAAAAATATTTTCTTATATACGTACCCTTCAACTAGCTATAAGTCCCAAGTTCATTAACAATCTATACCATCTTATCCCTTGGCACCCAAAACACTTGCCCCCTTCATTAGGTAAAAGAAGACAAAATTCTTCTTCCTTTGAGCAAAAACTTTACACTACTTCTTCATTTAGCTACTTAAATTCACAAAAACAAAGTAATTACTACTTGGACTATACTTAGATGACTACTAGATTTCAAGGCCTGGCCCTGGTGAAGTTATAGTAGCAGATGACCAGAAATCGGCACCATTGTTGTTTGCGACGTGGAGGATGCATTCCAATGGAACCAAGCATAGTCCTCTGCTACTTAGACCCTCCATTGAATCCATCTCCATTGCACTCGGTCCACCCTTTTCCTGCAAAAATTGACAATTAATTTCATAATTTACAGTTTCATCTCATGAAAGTTGCCCAAAAACATTACTCCGTATGTTGAACATATGATGTATTGCATACGAGTAATAGAGGTGAGCGACTTAACACACTTGATCAAAGTGTGTCAACCAAATAACTACTGCATGTCTACGTATGTACTACGGAGTACTGTATATCGAAGTATCATTGTATTAGAAAAATTAAAATGAAAGGGTAAGAGGCAAGTGCATGCATGCTTCAGTAGATGGCCTGATTATGATGGGACTATAGCTGCGTAAACTTACAAGTTACAACTTACACATATCAATACTCTTTTCAGCTTTCAAGTCTAGTCTTTTGAATTTTGATTGACATCATATCACTGTTTTTCCTCCTTGCGTCATTCTTACAGTTTCTTTTCCACAATAATCCCACTTATTTTGGAATTAATAAAACTACTTTTTCTATGAACACTTTCTCCCAATGTCTATAGTTAATCACCTATTCACACCTTAATACAGAGTACTTACTTTCGTTTTCATTTCTGGCCATCCATACATACGAAGTAATAAGATCATCCCACTTTTTTTTCCGTGTTCGGATCAAGTACATACACGATACACAGATGCTCAGAATAGATAAGTACTACAGTACTTGCTAGAAAGATTAAGCTAATGGAGTATATATGAAGAGGCTTAAATAAAATTTTGACAACCGCATAATAAACATAGAATCAGTCAATATATTGATCAACTTGCCTTCTAATTAAATACAGATTATTTCGAATTAAAATCTTCCAAAAATGATGCAACATTAAAGAGTGGTAAATCATCTAAACATCACTTGTTCCTCCTATAATGTACATCAGTACATGTATTTCGCAAAGTTATAGTCCGACCAACTACATTATCATACCACATCATGTAGACCGAGAATATAGAAACCACTAGTTAATTTATCAGGACTCCAATCAGCCAATCACACAACCAAATTAGGGGAAACACTTCTAGCAACAAGATATTCAGGGTGTTGCCATATTGGAGTAAAATAATAATCAATTGCGTACTACTGTCTTATCTCAATCACCATTTATTTTATCATATTGCACTGAATTACCCCTCAACATTCATAAACAATATGAAATTTATTCCCAAATTTCTTTTAAACTTTTCCAAACGAAGGGGTAGATTCATCATAGAGGTTACTTACAAATTTGGAGTGATGAGACGACGAAGGCGAAAGCTTCAAGTAAGGTGTAGAAAGCACCTTCACTTGATCGTGTAGAAACCTTATGTACCCCATTGCTTCATGTAACACCGAAGATGTGTCTGTCTGTATCACAAGAAAATTAAAATCAATAAACCAAATACAATAAAATTGTACTCAATTAGCATGACTAATACAAGTATAGTGTACAAAGTTATCACATTTATATATCCAATTTGTGGATTTGCTATGCTTCAAAATTAAACGGTTTTCACATTATGTACGAAGTATATGTTACTAAATAAACACAGTTATCAAAATAACGTCCACGTAGAATCGGCAATGCAAAGCTAAGTAGGAAGGGAAAAAAGTTAGCAAACCTTGCCATAAGGAGATACAAGCTGCTGCAATACAGCAATCCTCTCACCAAGTTTCTCTCTTTTTCCCTATTTATTGTACATCACAAAACATCAACATAAATTTCCAGCAATATTAATCAATGATTAGAGTCATCTTAAAAAAAATAAAGAGCCCAAAATATATTGTAACAACAGTAGAACTATAATAAGAATAATAATCATGGTTTATGAACATGCATGCAAAGCAAAGCTGAAAACTTTTACTAACCTTTACATGTCTAGGAGAAGATGTAACAATGGGGCCCATTTCTGTTTTATTCTTCTTCACCCCATTTTTCTGATTCTGACCATTTGTAGACCCATTTCCAGATTCTTTAACCGGCTCATTTCTTCTTTTCTGTAATTAAAAATTAAATTCATCAACATTAGCATCCTCATTTTATGTTACTCCGACTCTTCATTTCATCTCAACTACCCGTGTCAGGTACTCAACACTAATACAAAAAAAAAAAAAAACTCATAAAGTAGACGAGTGTGATACTTAGACACATACTCATGTCAGACATGAGTACACATATCCGAGTAACATAAAATTTCATAGAGTAATAGAGGGAGAAAGAAACTAACATTGGAGTTGGAGGGAGTGAGATTATTAGTATTGGCAGTAGTAAGAGAAAATTTAGGAGTAGTTTTAGAAATAAAGTCACCAAAACAGAGCATATTAGGAGTATTAGAAGAAAACAGAGTAGGAGAAACAGGGGAATCAACAGAAAAGCCCTTTTCTTCAACATCTTCTAATGACAAAAGTAGCCTTGAAAAACTCCCACCTGGAAGATGAATTTCTCCCTCTTTTCCTCCATTTTCACCCATTGTCATACTATATTATTTACCCTTTTTATTTTTTATAAAAAAAAAAAAAAACCCAAAAAAAAAAGTGAATGTGGGAAAGATTTCTAGGAGTAAAAAACGGAAGGTTCTTCTATTTAATGTAACGCTCTGTTTTTTTCTTTTTTTTTCTTTTGCTCTGTTTTTAAGGAAGGAAGAAAGGAAGAAGAAGAGGAAATGGTGGAGGGGTAAATTAAATTTCCAAGGAGAGTGTTGGGTAATGGGGATTAAGGGAGTCAAAGAGTGAAGAAAAACACAATCTATCAATCAAAAAAACTAAGCCCAAGAAAAGTCATGGGTTTAGTGCTTCTAAACCTGAAAATGCAAAACAGTAAAAAAAGAGATAATGGCACTGTTACTGTGTTTCTACCGCTTTGGTGGAATCGAGTAAGTGAGTTGAGTACATGTTTGTTTTAACTTCATGTGGAAGTGGAAAGATTTTAAGAAATGTAAATGAAATTTGCTTCACATTTTTAAGGATTCCATATTTTCAAAGAAAAAAAAATATATTCAAAATTTAACTTCGTATTCTAATTTAAAGGTATTAAAAGCTAATTTGATCGATCTGATTTGAGAAAAAACTTGATTTAGATTTTGATTCATATACATATAATAATTTAAGGAAAATGCTATACATAGCCCTAAGGGCTACATATAAGCATTTAATTTACTCTTGAAAATTGTTTAAATTTAGAAAATCATGACAAAAACACACTAATTACACCGATTTGCGCGTGTTTTTGTCATGAATTCCTAACTTTATACATTTTTCAAGAGTAAATTCAATGCTTATATATAGCCCTAAGGGCTATGTATAGCATCACCCATAATTTAATATGACTTAATTTTAAAATAGATAGATTCGAATTGACCTCACCGAACCAGACTCATTTATCTTGATTGACACCTATTTATCTAACTTATTATGTTTAACTGTTTAAAAAAACAACTTGCTTCGTAGTATGTATTTTGTTTTAGCTTATGTTTCCTCCAAGTTTTATTCTCGTCAATGCACTTTTAAACAAGTAATATCTATAATTATATTAGTAAAATTGCAAATTGAAAGTAAATATTGAGTACATGACTTTTTTTTTCCCCCTTAACGTATGGAACACAAACTACGATTAAAAAAAAAAAAAGTGCACATAAAAGTAAACTTCAAGTATTGCGATTAAAAAGGTGCAGAAAAGTATAAAATCATCCGAACTCAATCTTTCAAAAAAAACAAAACCTGAAAAACAATGCCTAAATTATATGAATAGTTAATCTCACATATGGGAGAAATTTATTAAGTTGGTATGTCTTCAGTATCCAAAAATACAAATAAAAAGATACGCAATTTTGTATGCTGTAATTGTGAACTAGGTAAATAAAAGACTTTACCGTTCTGGAATATCTTCCAAATCAACTTAGCTCAAATTAGCGTGCAAGATCCATTGGAGAGGGGGGGAGGGGGAGGAACAGCAAACGAACACCCATACCCCCCCCCCCCCCCCCCAACGAGGCCCCTAATTGGAATTGACAAGTGTTTCCACAATGTCAAGTCTTACTTGGTCTTAAGATATACAAATTACCCCATAAGTATTATGGCACACATTCAGACCAATTAGGCCCTTCTTTTGAGCTGCTATGTTCTTTTCTGTTCTGCTTGCCCAGAAGCTTAAAAGAACAGGGCCTATGAAAACTGTTTAATCATCCTCATAAGTGATACAATGTCAATACTTTTTTGATAGTATAGTACTATAGTATTATCAATACTCATACTAATATGATTTCTATTGTGAAGCTGTTTGATGTAAGCACTTTTCATTTGTAAGACACGAGAAATAGCATGGGCTACTTGCGCTTGCACAGCTGCATATACACTTAATACTGTAAATGTGACTTAAATTTGATTTTAATCTGACATCAAAATGATTCCCTGGATTAAACCTGTATAGAAGAAGCAAAAGAACTCAAATTTGAAAGGCTTCCGTTATAGAAACATAAACAACTTGCTCATTTATTTAATACTCCAAAATCATCTAAACAAAGCAAGTCAACTGGAATCCACACAGGTGCAAAAACTCTTGCCCTTTTATGTTTCTGCAAGATATCATCAGCCTTATTTGTCATCAAAACGTCCCTCAAAGATTGTTCATATAGATAAAAACGCATCACCCCCACCCCGCTCCCCACGAAAAAAAAGTATGTGCAACTGATGGCAACAATACCAGGATACAGTTTTACCATCCTCAAATACATAGTCGTAAATCTGATTACCAAAGTCGGGGCTTAATAGTACTCCCATTTTGTACCACAATCTCTAAAGTCAAATTTTAGACCTTTATCAGATTTCTTGGCAGCTCCAGTTGCAAACAATAGCAGAGCACAGGTGATGCATGAGTTCATTTAGAAGGTCTTCACCTCCGTTATTGTGATGCAGTAGTGTTACCTTGGTAGCCTATTAAACAAGATACATAAACATAAAATCATCAAGGCATTGGAATGGAGATAATACAACAGTCAAGTACTCCATATAAGTGGAAACATCTTCAAGGTGGAAAATGAAATTACAATAATAGTGCATGAAATTTTGAAGTTATTTTCAAAAATAAAATAAAATAAAACACATTTTCAGTAAGTATATCAGTAATATTTAAGAAATGTAACAATGGTTTAGTTAATCCTTCTCTCTCATACTTTTTCTCTCAATTTCTCTTCAAATTAGTCAGAACCAAAAGTATTCATTTCTACAACCAAGAACAAGTTTCTTCCTTTTTCTCTCATATTTTCAACTTAAACCTCTATATGAATTCTCAACCCTATAATCTTACTATGTATACAAGTTATAGCTTCTTTTCATTTTAACCTTAAACTTCCTTTGAGCACCTAATGAGAACTGAGGAGTGATGGTTGATGACGGAATGTGATTTTGCTGGTTTTATCCCAGACAAATACAATTGCTATATTGCTTAGTTCAAGGAAGATAAAGTCAATACAATCGCTCCTTACATGAAATAGAATCTTCTACACATCAAGAGCTCATGAAGTGCACCCACTTGTGCAACAGCCAACAGGGTAGAGAAAAAGAGGATGGCTCATTTATGGAGTCATTCTCCTTCCTCTCCCCTCCTCTGATAATGCTCTCTTCTTCTTACCCCATAATTTTGGTTCATGAAAACGAAGAAAGAGGATCTCTTAAAAAGTTTTGGTTAATGATGCTCCAATAATAGTATAGCCAACCCTTCAAATAAAGTTTTTATTATTTATTTTTATAATGTGCCTCAAAGGTCTCTAGCCATAATAATAAAGTTGGAAATAGGAAACTAAATTCTCATACCAAAGATCAAGAGTGAACCAAGAACCAACCACAAATTCCAACAGATTTTTCAGTCTTTCTCGAAGATCTAGTCATCATTTTCCATGACCAGCTGACAAAACTAATCCTTGAAGATTTAATAAGAGATTCACACCCTTATTGCTGAATAAGAAGGATCCCCCCCCCCCTCTTCCCTCTCTTCTTTAACATATCAAGGTAATTATAAATTCTACTGCATTTTTGAGAAAAAGAAGAGGCTTATAATTGAAGAGCATGGACAGCCATGGTGATTTGCTTCAAGAGCATTCTGCACAGAATCACATCTTTAAAAAAAAAAACCATGCCTCCCTCAATCATATGGCAGAGACTAAGATTTATATTAGCCCCTTTGGGCTAGGCCATTGTTTAGAAAATACATAACAATGTATCGTCGCAAATCAATGATTAGTGGTGCATAGAGATGCATGCATCCAACAGTGCGTGCACCACACACGTCGGCATGTGAAGTACATATGACTAACTTATGTTACTCATACGTCGGCGTGTGTGATGCATGCGCCGATGGATGCAATTAGCTTGATACACCTAAGATGGAGCCTACCATCAGAAACACTAAGCTTCAAAAGCCCAATTGTATCACATACTATTTAGTGTCATTAACATCAGCACACTTGTAAAAAGCCATGTCCAACCCAAAGAATTAAGAGATTTGTAATCAATGAGTCGATCATCAAACGATGATGACAACGCTTTATAACAAATGATACATCTTATTCATAAATTTAATAAAAACCTATTGAGAATACAATACAATTCCTCCATTCCATATTAATTGCAACATTTTGACTTTAAAATCTTCAATATACTTATTTGACCATTACTTCCTTGGTATTGGTCATTATAAAAAGTTAATATTTAGAAAAAATAAATCAAGAAGAATCTAACAAGAATAAAATTCCTCGTGATTATGTTTTTTCTTATATGTTATTGAGCATTTATAATTAGAACATTAATGTCAAAATGCTGCAACTAATAAAGAAGGGAAGTATATATTATAATTTTCTCTTCTTTTTTTTTCTATTAATAATGAAGTCTTCATGAGGACTTAGGAGGTGATAGGTTAATAATAGTGGCATCTGAGAATTTTCTAGATATCATAACAAAATGATAGAAATACGATCATTTGGATATTGTATTGCAAAAAACATTCAACAATTATTATCACCATATCATTCCTAGTCTCATGATTGAAATCCAATATGCATCATGATGCACAACACTTATAAAGGAAGTAAAAATAGAGGTGAACTTATGTGTGGCCCATCTTATTCCCTACTTACAAATGGTACATGATACAAAGAGAATTCTCTTCCTTCACCCAATGTCACTTTCCACGTTAGATTCATACACCCATTTTTAATGTATAATTCAAAACCATGTTTAGCTGCTAAAAGAGGTAAAGGTAGGATGAATCATAAAATTTTGATTATTAATGAATGATCTAATAGATAAGACATGCACCTTCCATTGAATTCAATTTACAATAAATGCGTAGAAGTTATTACTCTACAACAAGACAAGTCAGAGGCAGTCCAAACTATGGATTAGCTACAATAATATGTAGCCAAAGCTTACACAACATTTTTACCAAGGGAGTTAGAATCCCATGAATGAGCTGACTAAACGATTCCTTTAAGTTTTAGACTGATAGAGATCCAAGAAGGCTCTAAACCCCAAATCACAAACAAGTTACTATAACTTCTACCACACCTACAAATGGGCTTAATTCTTTTTCTAATTGATTTAAATCAATGCTTACATTGCGCACATAGATACATGCACCAACCAAAGTGTGCACCACATGCACCAGTGTGAGGTGCACACATTAAATAAGTACATATATATATATTGTATCTCACACACTGACACGTGTGATGCATGTGCAAGAGGTGGATATAGCTAAATACACCAAAGGCACATAATGGAGCACTAATTAAAGATTAGAACAAAGGATTGTTAAAAGTTCTTAGAGAAATATATGCTAAACAAAATTCCTTAAGTAAAGGGAGTGTTAGAGTTAAAAGACACTAATTTTTGTATCTTATTATTTTTGTGCAAATTAGAAACAACTTAATTATAATTTACTTCATAAACTACGAGGCAACAAAACCTCATCAAAGTGGGGCAATAGATGGAACACCATTTGAGAGAAAGGATGTGGAGTGCTTTTTCTAGACGAGGTGATTTCAGTGAGGCCAGCAGATATTTAAAAATAAAATAAAAAAATTACACAATGTGCCTCACTTCAATGCACAATGTGCGCCTTCGGCCTTTTCATATATATAATGCGATCATCAATTTAACTAAGGGGTAGAGAGTCTAGAGAGCTAGGCATGAGCTATTCAAACAATCCCTTGAAGCTTTTACTTCAAGAAGGATCCCTACCCTTGATAACATCAAGGTTACTCGAAATACTACCAAAGTAACAGATTAACAATATATCATCTTTGTGAGAAAAGAGGAGGTTTAGGCTTAGGCACAAGGACAACCATATATATGCTTCCAGAATGCATCTTAAATGTCACTAAGCCTTTCCCAAACACATAGAGTGACTTAGGACATTTTGAGGCTCCTTAGTCAAAACTCAAAAGTTCTATTTCATATAGGCTTTAGCAAAACACTGGCCTTTCCTTTTCCTTAGTTGTCAAGGCAGTAATACATGCCATTAAATCAATGCTTACATGGTGCACAAAGATGCATGCATCCACCAGCGCGTGCACCACATGCGCCAGTGTGTGAGGTACACATGACTATCGTGTATGCCTCATACGCCGACACGTGTAATGCATGCGCCGAAGGGTGCACATAGCTTCATGCATCAATGATGAGTACATAAATTACTCCATTGCATCCGGTATAATATATATCTTCACGATCCAACATTAAAAAAAACACACTATTGCAAGAGAGATCTATCACTAGACAGATCGCGCATAGCCGCATATATCATACATAGCAACAGAGCAACAGCAAGTCCAACTCATAAAGTTCACGAATCATGGAATACTTCTCAAAGGGCAAGCAAAAAGCTTAACAATAACAGCAGTTAGCTAGAACATCTTACATGCATGAATAATTAAAATGACAAAGTGAATATCAATCACTAATCCAACATTTCCAATCCAACACAATTGAACTTAATTCAATGATCAAATCAAAACAAATTCCAAATCATCACCAACACATGCAAAACAATCAATTTTTTATTTGTAAACCAACAAATTTAAAGAAAGAAAAGTGGGTAAAGCGTACTGATCTTTCACTGGGCAGAACAAACATTCTTCAGCTTCTCCGCCGCACCTTCTTTCACAGAATACTGCAATCCCACCCACCAAAAAAATCAGGAAAAAAAAAACAAATAGTAATTACAAAAATCACAAAAATCGAAGCATCGAAGAGAGAGATGAGTCAGATGACCTTGTGAAGGACCCAAATAGAATGGGCATAAGTGCGATTAAGAAGTTCATCAATGGCGGCGGAATCGGCAGCATCAACTTCTCTGTAATTGACGAAATTTTCGCGAGCATACTTAGCATAATAAGAGCGAGTATCTTTGGGAAGACGCCTAATTAACCTCAGTACCTCAGCATAGGCTCTCAATGCCTTCTGCATTTTCTCTACCACCATTCAATTTTTCTGCTGCTGCTAAAATAAGAACCCTAATTTTCTCTCTCTTCTTCGGAAATTGGGAATTTCAGAATTTGGGAGTAGAACTGGTAATGCAATTGAGGAAGACGATGTATTGTTAATTGTTACTGACTCTTAAAGTTGTACCTTTGAAAAATCAACTTTTGGGCTTGCAGTTACTATGATTGTGGGCTTCCCCTTAGATCTCATCTTATCGTGGGCCTTGTGAAGTTAATGACTCTTATGAGGATTGGTATGGATTATTTTTTCTCCATATGTCAAACGGGTTGGTCAAGTCAATTTAGAGTCGGGTAATTCTATATTCGTGCTACCTATATTTATTAAAGGATTAATACTGTTTTTTAATCCCAACTTTCACCAATTTATTTTCATTAATCCTAACTTTGGATTATTTCTCAATAATCCCAACTTTAAGGCGGCCTATCATTCTTCAGACCCAAACCGGTCAACAAAAGTCAACAACCTTCTATTGTAGGTTGCTGGACACGTGTCGCCACGTGAGTGGTCCAATTTTATTTTATTTTTTTTGACTGAACCAAATGCCCCTCCCCTTCCACCTCCATTAATGGCAGCTAGCCAGCCACCATCCCCTCCATTCCGATAGTCCCCCCATCCCCTCCATTTCCAACAACCCTCCTTCCCCTCCGTTTCCGGCCGCCCTTCCACTTCCCCTTGAAACCCCTACCCGAAACCCACCTGAAATCCCCTTCCCTCTTCCCTTCCCTTTCTACTCCATGACTTTCGACCACCCAATCGAACACCCAAACCCCTCGAATTCCAGAAAAAATTCACCCACCTTATCGAAAAAACCGCCAAAAAACCCCATCCCATGGCTGATTTTTGGGTTTTGAGATGTTTAGCGTAGGTTTCGGGGTTGGTTTCATGTGGTTTTTGGGGATTTTCGAGTGGGGCTGGTGGCTTTGAGGGATTTTCAAGAGTGGGGCTGGTGGTTTTTGGGGTTTGGTTGGTGGCGTGGGAGTTTCGGTGAAGGGGGTTGGTGGTTTTTGGGGTTTGGTTGGTGGCATGGGAGTTTCAGTGAAGGTTGATGGTGGTTTTTGGGGTTTGTTTGGTGGCGTGGGAGTTTCGGTTAAGGTTGCTGGTGGTTTTTGGGGTTTGGTTGGTGGCGTGGGAGTTTCGGTGAAGGGGGATGGTGGTTTGGCTCGGAGCGGTGACTCTAGTGGTGGGGAGGGCCGGAGGTCCGACGAGGGAGGTGGCTGGGCTGGCGGGTTACCGGATCTTTTAGGGTGGGGTTTTGGCTGGGTGGTTTTATTTTTTTTAATTTGGTTTTTTTTTTTAAAAAAAATTTTTTTAAAGCAATTAACATGTGACATGTGTCAAATAATTTTTTTTAACCCATTCAACTGGTCACCGGTTTTTGGGATTAAAGAATGATAGGGCACTTTAAAGTTGGGATTAATGAAAATAAATTGGTGAAAGTTGGGATTAAAAAACAATATTAATCCTTTATTAAATGATGGATCATTTTTTGATTTTGGGTTGGAAAATATATGCCTACGTACTTTTCTCCCTTTTCTTTTAAGTTTTTATGATACGTCACATTAAATTTGATATTAATCATATTACTTCCTCCGTTTCAAGTTACCCGCAAAAAACGTTGTTGCACGTTTTCCAAGACAAAACTTGTTAATGGTTGATTAACAAGTAAAGGGAACTTGTTAGTGGTTGATTAACAAAGTAAAGGGTGTGTAATCAAGGGTAGGAGAGAGAAAGAGGGGATAATTAATTAAGCCACCACTACCAACTACCATCCTCTCCCCGACATCACCCACTAGCAGCAACATCCCCCCAGTCAACCACCAGTACACCACCAACATCTCCCTATCCCCAACACCACTCCTCCACCAACCACATCCACCTACACCGTACCCCGAAACCATCACCACTACCACCCCATCCCGTAACCACCATGATCCAAAACTGTAACACCCTAATAATTATCTCTTTACAAAAACCTGTAAAATCCTGTATTAACCTGCATAACCTGTAAATACTTTTAATAACCTGTGAGAGAATTACTGGTGTGCTACAGCCACGTGTTAAAACGTTAAGGCTAATTTCAGAAATCAGCAGCGGAAAACTAACTTAGTTTTAAAAAGAATATAAGTTTCAAAACCAAAAAGTCAAGACTCAATTTAGTCTTACAAGTTGGAACCATAATGGCCCTTATTTAAAACCCAGTTAAATAGGAAGCGAGCAGAATTAGAGTCAAAATAACATCAATTTATGAAATGAAATAAGCTAAATGATTAACCAACGCTCCACTCAAATCCCATCACCCTGATGCAAGTTCAGTTTATGCAAAAACCTGTGATTAGTCTGCTCCCCAATATTACAAGTGTAAGAATTGGATCATTACAGGGTCGTTGAAGGCGAAGGCCATGACCAAGAGAAACACACAAAAGCACGTCATCAGCAACGTTGAGTACATACAAGCTACGAAACACAGTAAAGAGCCTTAGCATGATACTAACAAGCATTCCATACACTCAATATAATCATTGACTCGAACACATGATTCAATTGTTACTTATTACAAAGTTTTCTCTAGATAGCATTGATTACTTCGTTAATTTGTTTGGATTAAGCAATAGACCGGGTTGTCCCCCTGTGCTCCATTCCGGAACATTAAATAAGAAAACCCTATGCCTCCTTTCGGAAGACATTGATAAACATCCAATGGCAGATGGGCGCGACTCCATGGCCATAGCTAGTATGAGATCTCATCTAACTCATTATAATTTTAAAAGAATTTAAAACAAGAGACTCGTAGATCAGACGGCCTCTGAAAAGTACACGGCTAATACCCCGTGAACCCCAACCCCTGTTTGTCATTACTCTAGATGTGCACAAATCTAGAGTTTTATTGCTCATCCTTCTTGCACTTTACGTGATTTACCAGTTTAAATTTGGTGATGACTCATATGCAAACAACACAACCAATCATACATCAATCATTCAAATCATTCAAGTTTCCAATTCAATTCTTAATTTATCAGTGACAAACAACATTTATTATTGAATCCTTTAACTACCTCGGTGTATAAACACCTTAAATGCATAAGGCACCTCATATCCACAATCTTGTCTTATAAGACTTTAACTCTACCTTTACTCATTCCATTTCAATACAAATGAATAAGTAATTAAAATAATTCATTCCATATATCCTTGTATTTTTGCCTCTAAGCTCACTTTGCAAATTATTGCATAAATAATGCTCATAAGGAAAATCAATGCAAATTTTCTCATACATAAATTAAACCAATCATCACATTTATCATCAATCAACTCATTACCAAACAATGTCAACCAATCCACAAGTTCCCTAGCATGATTCTAGGTTTTTCCAAGTCCCTAAACATGCTCCTAAAATCAAGGTTCTTCGTATTCTTGTACGTACCTTAATTAAATCATCTTTCCAACTAGCCACAATGCTAGAAATTATTCAACTTAAAGTCTCCTACAATACCAAATACATAAACCAAATTACTTCCTTGATTACACAAATTTCCATCAACTTTTGAACACTTTAAACACTCTTTAATAAGCTGAAATTTTGGTTTAAAACCTTTAAAATTCTTTCTTTAAGTGGGTAATTAAAACCACAAAGTAAAAACTCATTCATGGTGTTTATATAAAAATTCCAGCACACTTTTTAAAATTTAAACCCCCAAATAAATCTGAAAATTATTTTTAAAACATTAAACCTTCGTCAAAAATCAAAAATTGTCCGAAAACCCTATTTAGAGGCTGATTTTGGCCACGAGAGGGTGGTGTTCAGTTATGATTAGAACGTTGTTTACACACGAAAAACACTATTTTTTTTGTAAAAATCGGACGAGTTATAATCTCAGCGGGATTAAAACGTAATTAAAAATAATTAAGAACGGAGATCGGAATTTGATTACCGAAAATCAGTTTTTATGTTTAATTAATCTTTATAAATTCAATAGGAATGAAAGCCCTAATTTAATTGATTATTAGAACCCTAAAAATCAACACTTTAATAGTTAAAACCCTAACTTTTTATTACTTTATAAAAACCATAATTTAAAACCATACAAAGTCAGAAATTTATACTCTTTAGTTATCAAAACACAATTATAAAATATACTAATCATATTTAAATAACAAGAATCAAAACCCAAAAATATATACTACATAAAACAATAATTTAAAACAAGGTGGAGGAGATAGAGAGAAAGGTGGCTCACGGTGGGGATGGTTGCCGACGTGGGTCGCCGACGGGAGGTGGCCGACTGGCTGGGGAGTGGCGTGAGGTTGCTGCAAAACATGAAAGCAACAATTGGCCATGCATTCACGCATGAACCAAAGCAGCATGCAAGGAAAGAAAAGAATAAGAAAAGGAGAAAAGAAAAGAAAGAAAAAGAAAAGAAAAATAAGGGAAAAGAAAAGATTACTTACCCCAAAATCTGATTCTTGATCTCTTGTGTGGGAAAATTTTGGGGTATTGAGAGGTATTTATAGAGTAGGGAATAAAGATTAGGGTTGGGCTTAATAAACAAATGGACTTTATTTATGAAATATTTGACCCACAAGGGTTCAAATAAAAGAATTGGGCTTACTTAAATGAATGGGTTGGTCCACAAGGAGTATGTAAGGATTGTGTACATACTATTATTTAAACGAGCCTAAAAGATTAATAAACGTTTAGCCCAAAATAAATTATACTTTTATAAAACTCAATAATTTAAATACTTTAGCCCTTTAAATATTTAATTAAAATACTTGAGTATTTTAAAAATATATTTTATAATTAATTAAATAATTTATAAAATACATAAAAAATACGGGGTATTACAAAAACCCCACCATAACCACCCAAAACCCACCCCAGACAACTCACACCAACACCGCAACCTGTAACCTAGTCACCACCGCCAAGATCCAATACCCCAACCCACCCAATTCGCAACCACAACCACAATCTGAAACCCCTCCATAACCACCGAAAACCAACCTCAACTAACTCACAGCCACAACAAAACCTAATCAATTTTTAGGGTTTCAATTTCGAGGATGATCGGCGGCTATAATAAGGGGTAAAGGAGTCGGCGACGACTTTGACAAGGGAAAGGAAGCTTAGTGACTCGATTAACGGTGGTTTTTAGAGAAGAGAGAAGAAAGAGAAGCAATGTTTAGGTTCGGTGTGGCTGGTCGGAAGTTTTCTGGGAATTTTAGGGCAGCAACGATGGAGTGGGAGTTTGGAGTTGGGGTGGCCGGCTGGGTGGGGGATTTTGGCTTGCAGGTGGGCTAGGGTCGTGGTAGTGAGAGAAGAGAGTGAAAAGTAGTGGTGGGTGTGGTTACGATGGTGGTGGTGGTGGTGGTGGTGGAGGCTAAGAAGGAAGTGAGAGAAAACTTGGTGATGATGGTGGTGGATGTGGTTGTGAGGGAGGAGGGAGGAGAAAGATTGAGATTAGGGATTAACTCATAAATGAATTAATTTAGGGCTTGTTTGTCATTGTTTTTTGTTTTTAGTTTTCTGTTTTTTTGAAAACCAAAAACCAAAAATAGGAAACAAGAAAAAGGTGTTTTCACTTTTTTGTTGTCAGTTTTCTAAATTATCAGGATTTTAATATGTTTGACTAATTTCTTATTCATTATATGACATATATCATATGATTTTGAAAATAAAAAAACAAAAAAACAGAAAACCACAACAATGCCAAACGAACCCTTAGTTTAATATGTTAATAACATATAATCTTATTCATTTTATATGTGTTATTGAAATTAGACCTGGTTATTGGGTGGGTCGGGTCAGGGTCGGTGCGGGTCAATTGTAGGTTGGGTCAAAGAGGGTCATATTTTATAGGGTCAATAGCGGGTCGCGGGTCAATAGCGCGTCGATAATGGTCGGGCCGACAAAATATCAATTAAATAAATATTAAACAAAGCCATTATTAAGTACATATGAATACAAATTTATCTATGTAATTATTTTTACATTATTTATTAAATTGGAAAAACATTTTGGCCTTATATTGACCCTACCCAATAAGGGCCCTATTTGTTAAAGGTCCTGTCCATTAAAAGCCCTGTAAGCTTGGCCCTGACCCTATTATCATTGGGTTACCTTACTCAATAACCAGCTCTAATTGAAATTAAATAAGGGTATATTGGTCATTTTACACAAAAATATTTACTACTAATGGAAACCTTTACTTTGTTGCACATAATGTGTAACTTTCGTTTTTGGAAATTGTTGCACATAATATGAAACGGAGGAGATATACGATATAATTAAAAGTTTATGTGGTGTTTTACCTTACAAAGTGGGTATGGCCATATGTGGCATTTATGTAATTAGTAATTGGGTAATAAGAGGATAAATAAAAATACTACTATTAAATTGTGAAATACTACTATTTTCGGACATATATAAAAGATAATTAAAGGCCCAAATAAATCTTTGCTCCACCATTATCGTTCTTACATACTTTCATTTTGCCTTATAATTAGGGGAATTATCTCTACTCTAACCCCACATGATATACTAATATACTTGTATATAAGAATTTATCAACAATTATGTGACTAGAATCACTACATTGGTGTATTTGAAGATGTAGTTAACTAGGTTTTAGTGGTATCAATTTTAGCACGTAGCATTTGTCTAATATGCAAACTACAAAGTTGAATTTTGGCCACTTCCTAAACTTTCCTATCGTAGAAAGTAATTTTTGTAAAGTCCAAAATTGGCTGCTCCAAAATATCCACGTCAACTTCTTTGTATTCTTTTCCATCACCACTCAATAGACAAATTTATTACTCCGATCCGTATAAGAAGATGAGATTGAACTCATTGAAGCCTACGTAGCAATGCAATTAATGTTAAATTCACGGGCCATGCAAAAGATCGAGAAAGGATAACCAGTAGTATCATTTTCCTTTGAATATACTTTCCAAACACCTTTGTCTCATAAAGAGTGTTTATTTGATTTTATAAGAGTTATATTGAGTGAATAGCTAAATTTGTTTCTTAATTAATTTAGGGCATTAGACAAAGTAGCAGGAATAATTGTAAACATCATGCTAATTTAAATAAAAACGGAACAATCTTGTAATAATCATTGCCCTAATATATATTAATAGGGGCAATATAATCTTTAAGGAACGCAGGGAGTATATGCATAATGTATTATATATATATATATATATATATATATATATATATATATATATATATATATATATATATATATATATATATATATAATATATATATATATATAATATATACTTCGTATATGTTACATATATTTGGTGTATTGTCACATTAAATGCATGAAGCAAACAGAAGTAGTAAGACCTAGCTTAATAAGGACCGCTTGTGATGATACCTTAGAGCCTTATTTTGCTAGGTGGCTAAAATTAGTTCCAAGTTGGCATATCATGCATCACTCATTCTTTCTATAAATCCATGCATGCATACTACACTTCATCGCTTACAGTCTTCCATATACCACTCTTCCCCTTCTCTCAACCATAAACCTCAATATTCCCAAATATGGATATTTGGTCATGGATATGTGACCTACCTAGTTCTCCCGAATGGAGCAATTCAAACTCGCAACTCTTTTACAACCTTGCTTCTTCTAGTAACACCACTAGAGAAAACTCAACTCGATCAATTCAACTAAATGCTGAACGTTCATCCGAGTTGAAAACTGAAGTATGGATAACGTTTTCTATATGTATCCAAGGATTTGATCCTAACGAGTTGCCGTCGTCTCATAAGACACTATGGTTGTCCGACCCTTGTTCCCTTTCCTCTAATAAGCCTTTTCTACCTCTTGTGCTCCAACTTGTCCAAGAAACAATAAATCGTGCACCTATAACTTTTCATGATCACACCCACCATGGATCCCGATTTGTTAAGGTAAAACTTTACCCAATTGCAAGGATCCTTGAGACGTATACACCTGAATCTTTTTCGTGTTTTTTCAATCTATTGTTATTCACGCGCTTATTTTGGCTATGTGCGTGTGATGCTCCTACCGAAGTTGGATCTTTCTACTTCCATTCTTTATTGGGTCCAAACCTCGAGTTATTGTCACGTGTTAATCGCGTGCCAGTGTTGAAGGGGTTCATGGGTGTTGTTGGTGCCGATGTTGAGATGTGCATCTCACGCGCCTTTGGATATATGCTAGCAAAGTGGTTGATTACAAGAGAGATGCGCGTGGGATTGACATCGTTACTACCTTTGCCTTCAAACCTTGGGCTTACTTATGCTTCGGAAGCTTGTAGTCTTTGGTTGTTGAAAGGCTACTTGCCAATATGGGGGATGAAGCGTACGTGCTCAAATGATGGGAAAGAAGGATTCCTTTTTGTTGGGGCTAAGGAATCGGCACTAAGGTATGCTCTAGCACATCAGCAGCTAGAGGCTCATATTCAGCTTGAATATGCAGTTAGATTCTTTGAAGGCCATATCCAAGTTAGTGCACGTGTTGATAACATACGAGTCCACGTGGTAAAACTAGGGTTTAATAAAAATGAAGACGGTAACGAGGTGGAATTTCGTGAAGAGTTGTATTTCCCTTCAAGAATTGAATTTTGGGTTGGACCGGAGGTTGGGTCTGACTATGTAACAAGTTTGAGTTTGGGAAAATCAACCGTTAATTCAGAAAGAGAAATTGAGACACAGAAATTAGTGAAAGGTAGTTTTGGTAAAATGAAGAATCCTAAGGTGAAAACTATGTCAAGGACCTCAACAAAGATGAAGATGAAGAATTGGAGATGCGACCAAGATGTTGAGGGAAACGCTGCAATATTTGATGCAATTTTTTACGACAACACAAATGGAATCGAAGTTTATAGCACAAAGTTAAATGGTGGTGCATGTATCAATAACAAGCCTAAGGACGATTTAGGGAAAAGGTATTCAACAGTAAATAGGCCTTTTATGAAATCTGGTGGCCTTGTTTTCACTGGAAATGAGTATGGAGAAGAGGTTAAGTGGAGATTGAACAAAGAAATGGAGGGTAGTGTGTTGAAGTGGGGAATTGGGTGCAAAATTTGGTTGACTTATTGGCCAAGTGACGTGGAGAGTTCTTATTATGAAACTAGGTGCATAGAATGGAGTGATGAGGTTGACTTGCCACTAATTCCTACGAGCTGTAATTAGATTGTATACAAGTATATGATTAATAATGCCATGTAGAAGTAATCCATGTATTATATAGTTACATGTCATCTTAGTAACCGAATGAATGTATGATAAATAATTGTAATTGTAATTAATTATAGCTTAATTATTTGATGTATGGTTTAGAGGTACTAGCACTGCTACACGCTTATTTTATCTCGTTATTTTTACATGATTTTTATTCTTTTAAGACATTTTTTATTTTATATTTTTTTTAATTTAACCTTTAGGTTTATATGGGCTAAACATTTGGTCATAAGCCATGTCAAATGAAAATATAATATGCTTAAAAAGTTAAAATGAAAAAATATATTTTATGTGAGTAAAATATAATATCCTATATAATGAATTTTGCGGTCAATTTTTATTACTAAACTATATATCTTTTCTACTTAAATAAAAAGGCTAAAAAGTTAAGAGGAAAAAAATAATAATTTCCGCTCTATAATTTCATTTTCTTTTTAGTTGATACAAATATACAATTAAAGAACATTCATCTTGTATCGAGGACAATTAGAATTAGGGTACCTAATCTTATACTCCATAATTACATATTTATTACTTGAGGAATAACTTTATGTAAAGCAATTGTTACTCAATAAATTTAACTCTTAATTTGACTATATTTTCCAATTCTATTCAAGGTCTCATTTTAAGATGGATCTATTTTGACAAGAATCAGATCTCAAAATGGAAGAACGAGTTCTTTTGCTGTCCCAAGGTACATTAACATTTCGTTGAATGGATTAGATATAATACATAATGAAACACACAAAGTAGATTGGACTCAAATGTGGTAAATTCTTCAAGTTTATTTACAATTGAGGTTAAGGGCCGAGTAGTCTAAGGCTATGGTGTAAGTTCATCACTTCGGTGTACATTTTAACCTTATTGTAATCCATTTTAAATTTCTTGTATTTCAATGTTATTCGAAAAGATGATTCAAGGTATTTGTCTAATTTCTTTTACTACCCCTGTTTCGAACGATTTACAACGATTTGATATAAAGTGTGAGTAAAATATGTCAAATCGTTGCAAATAATTCGAAGCACAAGTGATATTATTTAAAAAGAAATAGTAATTATTTATCCATACCATATGTCAACCATTAACAATGTTTGTTATTTTTTTTTTTTTTTTCCTCACACAACATAAATGGTACTCATGGAGTCATGGACCATATGGTTCCCTCAAAGACAATGATTATAAATCAAACTAAAACATTTTTATTGTGACTTGAAAATATAAACAGCTTAGTGGCCACACCATGACGAAGTAATTTAAGTAACTTCTCTTATAGTATGACCAGTCATATTTAAGAATTTGTGAAATATAAAAAGATGAAATTGGTCAAATTATAAAGATTGGTCAAATTATTCTACCGTGTTAGCAGTTTAGCACACAGTTTATCTTCCTCAAAATTTCCAAACGAAATTCAATTAAACTCAAAGAGACAGATCATCATTGATCAACCAAGCTAGGGTTTCTAAGTACTTGAAAACATTAATCATCTCCTTGCTCAAATTTAATCAAATTCAACCAATTTTTTTTTTTTTTGACGGGAATCAAATTCAACCTAATATGCACTATTTCCCACAATTTTGGCTAGAAATCGATCAAATTCAAGCGACATTGTTGTAATATCAATTTTCAATGCTTTCTGGGAATGCTCAACTTCGATGTTTCTCTTCATTTCCGCTTTTCGGACCAAAATTTCATCTTCTCTCGCCATTTTTAATGCCCAGGTTAGTCGATACTGAGAATTTTCTCTCTCCAAATTCCTCGTATCCCCTTAATTTGTTAAGCAAAATTACAAAAAATGTAATAAAAATCGATTAAATATTTTGTTTTTATTTGATTATTTGTTTGCAAGCTTGGATTAATTTAATACGACATTAAAAATGGAAGTTTTTCATGTATATATAACTAATTCAATTATTTAATTTGCATAAATTTGCATGTTTTTTTCTTCCTTTTTTTTTTTTTTTAAATTTTTTTTTTATTCAATTGCACTGTAACGAAGAATTTTAATGCAACATTTGAGAATGATTTGTGAAATTTGTTGCTAAAATTCTCCACATTGTAGTTGATTTGTGAAAGAACCTTGATGTACGTGAATTGTTTGCAGTATTGCTCCAGTAGTGAGCTTAATTAATGTGTTTGAATTGAGCTAGTTTTTGTATAAATTTGTAATTGTGAATAGAAGCGGTCAAATCTATCCTAGTTCACCTAATTAATCTTATTGTACACTGCTTGCTATGATTGGTGTGGTTTTGATTGGAGTGTCGCAATGCAATATACCTTGACTTAAGTTGTGTCCGCTTGCTGAGAATGTTTTCGTGATGATAATCCAGCGAGTATTTTATTGGCAAAGTGGTTATGAATTGTGGAGGGGGCACATGATAGAGTTATGTTTGTCGAGGGATAAGTCATTGGTTTATAATTTATATCAGTAGTTTCAAATCTCTTCCTTTATTGGGTATTTTTGTTTGATTTAGAATTTCAACATTTCCAAGTGCCCTCCCACTGCACAAGAACACACTTGCTTGGCTTTGCGACAATATGCCTTCATATAGAGTTCCTTGTGAAAAGTAGAAACAACTGAAAGGGAAGGTGAATATAGCTGATTTCCTGACGTATATGTTTGGTTTTTTTTTATATTGAATTGCTGGATTTTATTTGTTTGCAATTGCTTGCTTGGTGGAAGTTAAGAGGTGCAAAAGGAACCGAGTACAAGAGTAGCAATTGATTGTAGTAAGCTTAGCTGATAATCTCTTCAGATGGTATATTTCATTTGTAGAGACAGTGGGAATGTCTTGAAGTCTAGTATGCTAGGCTATGTTGACTTAGCTCTGGCTCTTGATATGGACGATCTTGAGTTACTTTTGGCAGTGACAAAAAAGGGTAAAGCCTTGGTGTTGTTTCTGGATGCCTTTTATAATCTATTCTCGAAAATAACATATGAATGGTTGCTTTGCTGCTTCTACCTCTGTAATTGCATCAAACTTATTCATAGTGTCATCTTCTTTTAATAGTCTAGGCCCTCCATTTCCTGGTCGTGATTCAGATCCTTGCTTGAGTCATAGTGATTATTCAGAGATATGGAAGCTGGTATTGGTACAGTGGTGGGTGACTGGTTGAATTAGGGGTGAAGAAAATGGCATGGTGCTTCTCCCAAAGGTAATCCAAGACAACTTATGACACCAAATATGAAGGTGGTGAGGGACAGTTTCTGCCATTGACGTGCTGAGTTGAGTCATTAGGCTGGGTCTAGCACTCTATCCATGTAATGTCATAGCGATTTGCGGTGATGGTTGTTCAAGCAGTCGTAACATTCTGAATAATAATTGCTGCTGTTACACAAGGATAAATTTCATAGTGCTCAAAATTGCTGTCTAGAGTATATGTAAGATAAAGAACCAGCAACTATTAGTCTATAACCCATTCTATGCCTCCCCTCCTCGCTCCCTAAAAAACCCCATTTCCGAAGGGAAGAAGGAAAAGGCCAAGTTTGCTGTGTATTATGTTTCCTGACTTTCCTCACAATTTGGCATCTGACTTCCTGTACTATGCAGAGGTATCATACTGTTCTTATCTATTACTACCTCCGTTTTTTAGTTGACACGTTTTGACTTTGTGCACTATTCACATAACTTACTTTAACTTTGTTTCGTGATTTAGTGATAGATAAAAACATTGTCATGTGGGGTCTTGTTAGCTTCGTTTCAACGTCTAGTTTCCAAATATCAAAATTTTATATTTTTTGCTTATATGTAATTAAAGATATTTACATTTGAAAGTATGTGTTGGCAAATGTGACTATATGAAATGTGTCAACTAATAAAAAAACAGAGGAAGTATAAAGAATAAGATTCAAGATTTTTACTGCAACTATCCTTCCCATATTTTCTCTTTCTGTTATCTTAATTTTCCTTCTTCTAGATTTTACTGTCATCTCTAGTTTTTGTTGTAAGCTGAATTTTCTGATTGACACTGGTACAGGATCATCAAGGAGTTTGGCTTTCCAAGTACTCTGCCACTGCGGTGGTTGGAATTGCAGTTGCAACTTTTCTATGGAGGCATGCCTGGATAAGGTACAAGGTTTTCATCACAGCCTGTATTTTGTTGCTTTGACAATATTTATCACTGATACATATTTGGATCTGCGTAAGACTTTTAAGATAAATACCCTCACTTACTATAAATTACTTTGAATTAAGGGTTATAGTTTGACTTTTAGCTTCACTTCTCAAACTTTTAAATTCAGAGGAGCTCTAAATTCATTTATAAGCTTCACTCACATTAAATTATTTTTGAGGAACATTATGTGGTTTGATTTGAGATGCCTTTATCTCCTGCAAATAAAGAAGAAAGTTATTCCAAGCTAACGCTACCAAAGTAAAAATTCCAAATGCGTGCAGCACCTAAGTTAAATATGTGAAGCACCTAGGTCAAACATGTGCATTGGCATGAATGATTATGCTGCCTTATGCTCGCATTGGAGTGTATTTTTTGATGCAAATGACTTTATATAATTATATTTCAACTTATTAATATTATAGGTAATGAAATAATAGTATTAGATCACCTAAGCTTTGGCAAGCCAATTAATCCTTCAAACCCCATTTTCAAGCGCCAACTTGTCTGCAATATATTAGGATGGACTTTAATGATTGAATTATGGTAACGTAAAAGCATATAGACCAGCAACATGCAATTAACACACAATTGAAGGAGTATCTCCATTTTATTGATCACAACAGCATCACAGCAGAAGATTACCCCTTCAAACTTTTACCACAATCCTCAAATCACACACATGATGGAAATGTCTCAAAGTTTGGCATTGCCAAAGCTTAGGTGATCTAATACTGTAATTTATTACCTATAATATTAATTAGTTGAAATATAATTATATAAAGTCATTTGCATAAAAAAAAGTCTTATTTATAAAATTAATTAGTTGTGTTTGATTTCATATTTATATTAATAGCATATATGTACCTGTTCAGAATAAATAAATAAACATGAAGCCACCTGTTGGAGTTTTGCTGCTTACATTTTATTGCCACGTAAAACATCATGTGTCTAGCACTCATTAAGAAATTAAACTGCCTGTTTTGTCTTGTTCATTTTTCCAAGTGTAAAATGCCACCAGATGAGATCAACCAGCTGCTATACTTATCTAAGAAGCTACATTTCTAATCAACTCCAACCTCAGAAGCAATCCAAAATCTTGCTAAGAAGACCCATGAAACACTTAGTAGAGCTGTTCCCCAATAACCATGTTATGAAGCTTTGGAAAGTAGACGTCATTTACTGACAAACACATTATTTAACGATAGGAAAAAATGCTTTTCCTTGTGCTATCATTATAATTTGACCGTCTTCACAATACCTCGTGTCTGCTAAATTACATATCAGCAAGATTTGGCATGTTGTCGTTTGAAAGGTTGAAGCTTTCCTTGCATTTGTGCCTTGGTAAATTATAGTAGGCTACTTATAGGTGGATTTGATGGGGGGTTACTGAGACAAATTCTCCAGAAAAGGGGAATGCGACTTAATTATAAAAACATATATTTAAAAAAAAAAATAGTGGACGTTATCTTATTTTTCGGGATCATTTGGATGTATTATTAGTTGACTTGTTAGCACTTCATTTCATTTTGATTCTGGTTTCCAAATGTTGTTTCATGATCTCACAGATGGACAAAACATCGCAGGATCCAAGATTTGCATGACATCAGTACCTCTGAGAGTGCAAGTCCGACTAGTGAAAATTCCGAGCTGCACTGTTGCTGTGGGCTTCCAGCCAAATTGAGGATGTCAAAAACTTCGAGAAATCCCTATAGATTATTCTATAACTGCCCCAAGAATGTATTTCATCATGTATGTGCTCTATATCTCAACCTCAAGTGTTCAATTCTTTTCAAGAAGTTTATTCGACTCATAATCATAGCCTTTCTTTTTGACTTTATTGCAGCAATGTGAATATTTTCATTGGTCTGATGAGTTATCAGCTAGTATAGAAAGAAGTAGAACAGAAATTAGTTTTCTTCGGAATGAGTGTATTCGGCTGCATAAGAGAATAGCATATGTTCAGTCTCGGCGAGAAAATGAAAGAGCTTTGTGGGAGGTAGAAAGGTCAGAGCTAAGATCAGAGGTAGCTTCAGTTCAAGCAGAGCTAGATGATATAAATAGTAGAGTTCAACCCTTGTACGAGTTAGATAATATGCCTCCTTTAGATGAATCGTATGCCATGAATGCGGAGAATGATGGAGCAATAGATATAGAAATTATATAGAAAAGGAGGAGAGCTCAACATACTTGATCATCTTAGTGTTCTGCTTTGATCATCCAAGTACCCGAAACTGCTTCTGCCATCGACCCTCTGATTTTTGCAGAAAAATGTATTTGTAGTCTGAGTCTTTTAGCAAAGGGAAGCGTTTTATCTTAAGGAGGGGTTATGCAGTTTAATGTAAATAGCGCTAATTTGCTTCACTTGTAAAAAATCTTCACAATACGTAGTACATATATTTAATTTAATCTACTAATCTACATGGGCAGTCAATTTGCCATGTTTGTGTATTGCTTTATCACATTTATTTGAATCAGATGTTCGTTACTTGATGTTAAGTTTGTGTGTTAGAGTTGCTCACCTAGTCACCTTGCACGACTTTATAAAATTTTGTTATTGCATTTTAGCTCTGGTAAGAAATCTAGCAATTATGTTTAAAAATTGTAAAACTTTCTTACAAAAAAGTTCATATATATATATATATTTATTTATTTATTTTTATTTACATACTTCAACTTATCAAGCACAAATTAATATTGAAATATAATCCGAAATTATTAAATTTATAATTATGTATATAAGTGAGTCTTGTTTGTACTACAATTATTTTTAAAAAAGTTTTTTAATTGTACTTATAAAGACAATTCTCTGTTCTAATCTTCCTATAATATGCTGATATTGCAAACATCTAATCCTTGTCTATTTTGAGTGAAAAATCGTTAAGATATTTTGTACTAATTTAGTAATTTCATGTAGGGATGTCAATGGGGCGGGTCGAATCAGATGTTGGTTTTCCCATCCCCATCTAAAATTTTCATCTCCATCCCCATCCCCACGGCGGATCCAAAATTCATCCCCATCCCCGCCCTGGCGGGTGCAATTCCAAAACTATCCTCGCCCCACCCCCACTTGGATATCCACCTCCACCTAATCCCCACCCAAGAACCGCCTAATCCCCGCTTCACATATACAGTACACAATCCTACATAATTAATATAGAATACAATTTTTTTTTTTAAATGTCAATATTACACATATTTTTGTTTATAATATAAGTGTATTACAAAGTATTATATTTACTCTTTTTTTTACATAATTTTTTTATAAAATAGTATAAAAGTATATAATTTTATTTTTGAAATTAAATAGATGTGGGTATGGGACGGGTACGAAGTGGGGCGGGGCGGGTATGAAGTGGGGCGGGTACAACCTAAAATCAACCCCCGCCCCATCACCCTTGGCGGGTATGGTTTTCATCCCCATCCTCGCTCCACCACTGCACCCGCCAAACCGAGACTCATCTCCGCCCCAATTGACTTAGTTTACATTAATTTTTTGTAAACCATTAATATTAGAGTTACTATGTTTAAATGTTATTGTTTAAACATAAAGGTTATACTTAAAAAAAAAAAAAACAGTATGTTAAAATAAATGTTATTATGTTATTCCATGACACTTATTTTTTTCTAATATGATTTGAACTTATTTTTTCTGATCTCATTTGAAATAAGTAAAAATAAGATGAACTAAACATGATCTTAGTATATGACTGTAGATCTTGAATGAATTGATTGTATTTAATATGGCGCTTCGAGGATTAGGCAAAGACAAAAGAATGAGGAGAATTGTTGTCCACATGCTACAAAATCAAACTATTGAAGAAGCTCACATGCGTGAGATCTGCTTGTAAAGATACGTCAAAGTTCGTTTTGGCCAAGTTATAATAGAGAATCCTTTGTAGGGCAGTGAATGTTATGTAGTTAGTGGTTATGTAATTATAGAAAACAGCTCATGTTAGTAATATTAATCAATCGTGTTGATATAATATCAAATCTCACTCGTATTCATAGTTTCATACAGCTTGCTCAAGCAATATATATGATCTAATTGATTTCAGTAATTTCAGGGATATTTCCTCTAATTAATACTCCTACGGATTAGTAACTGTTAGTACGTATCCATGTAAGGTTATGTGACACATACATGACATATGTTTGATGCGAGTATGTATAGCATGCACAAACGCGTAATGACAGCTTAGCTTGAGTGTTTTGGTTTCGCGGAAACTACTCAAACTTTGGACAATTAAACTGGTTGACATAAGAACACAACGTCACATTCTAAGTTTCTAACATAGTAATATCGATCAATTGGAGGTCCAGCTAATACATTGTTGTGCCGGTGGTCAGCTTCTTTAATTTCATAGTACTTGTAATTTCATTCTAAGTTCTAATAATCTTCAAAGGACCTACTTATTTTTGATTGAATGAAGGAGCCCTAATAGATAAGGAACATAATATTATAACCTAAATAGCAATCAGATAAGAAACATAGTATTACAATCAATTAAAGTAAGTAGGGTCTATATATGTTTTTGATGCTTATTTTTTCTTTGTAAGTACAGTTGATCTACTACTACTAGCTTGCAAGTAGCATCATAATTTGATTACATCTGTATATCTGTATAAAAGGGATATAAAGGAGTATGTTATAAAGGGTAAATAATATAGACGGAATATAACTTTGTAAACTTTAAAATACAAAATGAATACCCAATCAATTACACCAATGACTATATTTGCTTGGTAATTTGTTTTTTTTTTTTTTTTTTTTTTTTAATGAAAAATATACGGTAATTCATATCAACTGTAGGAAAAAATTATAATTCAGTCCAAATTGACACCTTTTTCATCTCTCAAAACAAACATTAATTTGACATTCACATTTTTATTTGTTAATATACACTTCAACAATTAATAACTTGTATACAAACTACTCGTACTTCATAGTTTATGATTAATCAAATGACAATTATCTATGCAAGTTTGATTTCCTTGTTGATGGAATAACTTAAATTAATTAGATACTCCCTGATAAAAGATCTCGTAAGTCTTAAGTAATGGAGAAAGGGTCAAATTTAAATTAGAAAGGCATTGCTTTTGCCAAAAAGTGAGGGCCGGGAAAGAAATCAGAGTATCAGACATAAAGCAAAACATTTTGCCTCTTCCTTTGTGCCTCGTATCTCTTATCGGTATTCCTTCTGTTTCTATTTATTTGCTCTATTTTTTATACATGGATGTCCCGTAAAAATTGTTTCATGTCTTAAATGTCTATAGAAATCACTATTTTTACTCTCACAAAAACCAACTTTATACCCCATCACTTTTCTCTCTCATCAATTCACTCAACCAAAACTTAATAAACTAAAAAATGGACATGGGACAAACAATTAGAAATGAAGGGAGTATCTATTAAGAAAACAACAAAACTAAATTAGACCCAAAATACAATAAAACCGGATTATTCCATATTATTTGACTCTTAGTTTTTATTTTACAAAAGTTAAAAGAAGAAATATCTATTATTCAACCCTTCCTCTCCGCCTCTCCTCTTATTCTCTTCCTCCTCAAAAACCCAAAAAAAAAATAAAAAAATTCTTGTTTCTAGGGGCTACCACGAACCTTTTGGTTGATGGTAAGCCCCTAATCTCTTACTCCGTAGTTTCTTACTAGTTTTTTACTTTATGCTCATAATAATTGTAGTCTCTCAATTTGAGAGTTTTTCTACCCTTATGTCGGGTTATTTCTACCCGTATATAGGGTTAATTTTTCTCTCTTTTTGAGAGTTTTGGGGCTATGTTCTTTAATTTCGTACGAAAAATTAATTTGTTAATGAGGAGTTGTGCTATGTTACCATGGAGGTTAATTCTACATCTACAATCAATTGTAGCGAATGGTGTTCGATTCCAAAGCTACAATAGATCGAAAGACCCCCTCGTGAAAAGCTGTATCAAAAAGCGGTGTGAAATAGGGCATTTAGAAATGTCAGATCTAGATAACAACGATCGTAGTTTTGTCAAATTAGAATATTATTCGATTCAGTTTGTATTGTATTTGCTAGTTTTGATTTATATTGTAGATGTCGTATGACTCTTCCATTAATGAATTAATTTTTTTTTCGAAAAAAAAAAAGTTTTTATTTTACAAAACTTTATTGACTTAATATATGAATGATTAGTGAATATGAAATACCGGTATATTGATAGGACTCTAATGGATTTGACAATTTTGAGTGTGTTCTACTTATAAGCTCTAAAGAGATATTGTAGGTAATATTAAGACCTTGTTCACTTTACATTAAAAATATAATATTTAGTAAAAATAAGTTCACTTCAGTAAAATAAGTTCAGTTCAGTTCAGTTCACTTCAGTAAAATTAATTTCAGTTCCGCAAAAATAATTTCAGTTCAGTAAAATTAATTTCAGTTCAGTAAAAATAATCTAAGTTCAGCAAAAATAATTTCAGTTCAGTAAAAATAATTTCAGTTCAACAAAATAAGGTGAAGTGAAAGGTGCCTAATAGTACTCGTCTATATATAAAGTACGAGGTAGTTTTTTCTCTCGTCTTTTTTCGATGTGAAATAATATATAGGTATGAGTCCAAAATCATTATTCAAAAGTTTTCAAAAATTGTACATGAATACATATTAGATTTGTCTATTATCCAGGAGAAAAAATAAAGAACTTTACTTTTGTATACTCCATATGTGATAATGATAATGTTTGAAGCTTAAGAAATTATTGTTCACAAAGGCACTTTTAAATTTTAATATTGCAAGGAGGATACACTACAAAGTGTCCTAATCCTTGCAAATTGGAAGATAATCATTTGCTTAAAAAGGATCAATTTTCTAGGTAAAAAATAATATTTATGGAAAGCAATCAATCTATATGCAACAATATACAACTAAGGAAGATATGATACAAAGATAAATATGACACTTAGCCAAATTACAACTAAGCAAGCATTATCTTACTGTCCTTAATCAAAGAAATCTCTATCCTTAAATGTATATATTTCTTGTCTCTCTTTCAACCAAATGCATTTTCTTCTTTCGCTTTATTAAGAATTGAATCGAACGTGTAGATTAAAATAAAATGAGATAAATCTCTTACAATAAATCAAAGAATAAAAATAAAATAATCGTTAAGAGACAAATAGAGTTAAAATGAGACAATTGTTAAGAGACGAGATAGAGTAAAAACAGCCCGTACAGTCAAAAGCTAACCCAATCTCTCATCACAAGCACCAACCAATACAGCAGTAAGCAACAGCCAGAGGGCCATAGTCCCATGCACTGTCGGTTTCTGAACAATAATAAATACCCCTCATTTTTCCATAAACCCAATTAAATTACGCCAAAAATGCCATAAAATCAACAAGACCCACCCACTTTTTCATACCTACACAAGGTTTCACATGGACCCTTTTCATTTTCACTCTTTTCTTCTTCTTTTTCTTTGTTTTTCTCTTCTTTTTTTAGGTTCTTTTGGTACATTTCTTGAACATGAAAAGCCTAAAGATGGTAAATTTTGGAAACCAACTAGAAGATTATCGTTGGAAAATGAAGAAATTAGGCCTTTTAAGATTATGTTTAAAGATGGTGCTAGGAATTGGACTGATGCTCTTCCTATTGGTAATGGTCGTCTTGGTGCTATGATTCATGGTGGGATTCTTTCTGAGGTTATTAATCTCAATGGTATGTTATGTTATGTTTTACTTCACTCTTTTTTCCTTGGACTTGCATTTTGGTTCGATAATGTTGTACTTCTTTTTGTCTCTAAATAATACGCCACATTTGGTTTGGAGTCGGGTTGGTTTAACTAGTGTAACATACAGATTATAGATTCTTAACTATTTTGACTTATTGGGTAAATACTGTAAATTAGAAAGTAACTTATTATTTTGGAACGTACATAAATAGAAATGTGGTATATGGAGTACCAATTTGTGCAATGGGGGTTTAATTAGTGTGTTTAAGTGGTAAGATCTAGCATTGTGATTTAAAAAAATGTCTATTTTTCTTTACAAGTTTGGAGTTTCATCTTCTTCATTTTGGAACTACTATCAGGTGATTCTATGTTGAAGGAAATAAGGAATGTGTTATTCTGTAATAAATTAAATATAAATTAATTACATTATAAAAATTCATTAGTGGGTGGTGTCATAGATACGGCATAGATATAATTAATTATTGTACTAGTAGATACTTTATGTCACAAAACAAGCCAAAAAATAATTGCAACTATCGCTGAATGTAGCTGCATTTTGTCTCTGAATATGTACCTGACCAAGATTTATCTATCCAATGGCCCAATTCCTTGATTTGCTCAAAGGATGAATAATTGAATTGGTTGTTTATGTGTATTATATGCTTGATATTTCTATCTCCTATCTCCGTTTCTTAATGTTCGTCCCATGTTTTCTTAAGAGTTGTATTGAGTTAGGACGTAGTTTTATCCTTTTGATTTGGGGTAGAAAATAAAGTACACGGTATCATCACGTTAACTATAAAAAAGAAAAAATGGGGCAAATTTTAAGGAATAAATAAAAAAGGAAATTGTGGCAATTTTTAATAGACGAAGAAAGTATTAGGTAAATGATTTCAAGATAAACTTGCTTCCTAAGGGGAAAACTAGAATTATTTACTCATCTCCAAGTTTGATTCTCGTCTATGTTATGCATCCCAAATTCCCTAGTGTTTAACTAACATTGCTATGCTGGATTGGGTACTAATAATGGGTACACATAGCTATTCCTTTGTCATTTGTGGTGTATATAGGCCCTCCAGATCCTTATGTTTAAGACTTAGATATTAGTGTGAAATAGGCAGGGCAACAAATGACTTAAATAGGCTCCCGCCTTAGTCGGGTAAGTTGGGGTTGAATATACACAGTCTTACACTTAAGATAACATATCGGCTTAATTTGAATTGTTAGAATTTGATGTCATATTTGGAGGTGAATGAAGAGTCTGAGTAACAACGTTAGTTTGGTTCTGATGTTGAAATTTGAAACTGAACAAATCAATTGCTCAAACAAGAACCTTGTTTATGATCTGTAGAGGACACACTTTGGACCGGCATTCCCAGGGACTATACAAATTCAAGTGCTCCAGAGGCACTGGCAACTGTGAGAAAGCTCGTCGACAAAGGAAACTATTCTGAAGCTACTGCTGTGGCAGACAAAGAGCTTTCCGGAGAACCATCTGATGTATGTTCCTCCATTCCTTTCTTTAGCTATATCTTGTGAATAATGAAACTTAAGCTTGTTAACATCAATTTAGTGTAAAATAAGGCTATACTCATCTTATGTATGTTCAATATTTGGCTAATGCTCATCTTAGAAGAATGATTGTGAGTTACCCTAAGGAATACCCTCCTTTAGCGCTGTTAGTCTTGGACAGCCTTATTTTTTTCTATGCTTGCCTCCAGAAACAGCTCTGATTACGCTGGATTAATTCTAAAACTAATAATGTTAAGCATCCTTCATCCCCTAGATTTGGCTAGTATTTGAACATGAACTATCAACCTTTAATTTATGCATGTTTGCTTAAGATACATCTTATTAACATGAAATGATTGTTGCAATATCGTAATACAAACAGTATGCTTATTATATATGTAGGTTTACCAACTTTTGGGTGATCTCAAACTGGACTTCCATGAACATAATTCTACTCATAATTACCAAAGAGAGCTAGATCTGAATACTGCAACTGTTACTGTGAATTACTCACTTGGTGATGTGAAGTTCACGAGGGAACATTTTGCGTCAAATCCCGATCAAGTGATTGTGACCAAGATCTCATCCAGTAAAAAGGGCTCCCTCTCCTTTACAGTGTCTTTGGATAGCAAAATGCATCATCATTCCTACACTGACGACAAAAACCAGATTATTATGGAGGGAAGTTGCCGTGGTAAAAGGATACCACCAAAAATATATGAAGTTGACGACTCTCCAAAGGGAATCCAGTTCTGTATGGTTCTCAATCTACAAATTGGTGGTGATAGTGGGGTAATACACAATATAGAGGATCAGAAATTCAGAGTTGAAAATGCAGATTTTGCAATAGTTCGTCTTGTGGCATCATCTTCATTTGATGGACCATTCACAAAACCTTCAGATTCCTTGAAAAATCCAACCTCAGAGGCTCTAACAAGGATGAACTCAATTTGTAATCTTTCATACTCTGCTCTCTATACCCGTCATTTAGATGACTATCAGAAACTCTTTCACCGTGTCTCACTTCAGCTGTCGAAAAGTAGCAAGACTGCTAATAAAGAAAATGAAGCAGTTCCTACTGCAGAGAGGATAAGATCATTTAAGACTGATGAAGATCCATCTTTGGTGGAGCTATTGTTTCAGTATGGTCGATACTTGTTGATTTCTAGCTCTCGGCCAGGAACTCAGCCTGCAAATCTGCAAGGAATATGGAATAAGGATATTGAGCCACCATGGGATGGTGCTCCTCATACGAATATAAATCTTCAGATGAACTACTGGCCTTCTCTTCCTTGCAACCTTCATGAGTTGCAGGAGCCATTGATTGATTTTATGTCTTTCCTTGCAGCCAATGGGAAAAAAACCGCCAGCATAAACTACGAAGCTAGTGGGTGGGTTTTGCACCAAGTGACTGATATTTGGGCAAAGACATCACCTGATAGAGGGCAAGCAGTTTGGGCATTGTGGCCAATGGGTGGGGCTTGGCTTTCTACTCACTTGTGGGAACAATATACTTATACCATGGACAAAAACTTCCTTAAAACCAAAGCTTACCCTTTACTTGAAGGAGCAGCATCTTTTTTGTTAGACTGGTGGATCGAAGGAAAAGATGGGTATCTACGAAGTAACCCTTCAACTTCTCCCGAGCATATGTTTACTGCTCCGAATGGTAAGCAAGCAAGTGTGAGCTATTCATCAACCATGGATGTTGCAATAACTAAAGAAGTTTTTGCTATAATTGTTTCTGCTGCTGAGGAACTGGGCAGATCTGGAGATGATCTTATCAAGAAAGTTCTAAAGGCTCAGGCAAGACTGCCACCTTACAGAATAGCTCGGGATGGTACACTTATGGAATGGGCACAAGATTTTGTGGACCCTGACCCACATCACAGACATGTATCACACTTATTTGGAATATACCCAGGTCATACAATAACACCTGAGGAGAATCCAGATCTTTGTAAAGCTGCAAATTATAGTCTTTACAAACGAACAGAAGATGGCCCTGGATGGTCTACTGTATGGAAAGCTACACTGTGGGCAAATATGCGTAACAGTGAGCATGCATATCGGATGGTCAAGCATTTGTTCAACTTGGTAGACCCTGATCGAGAAGCAGACTTTGAAGGAGGGCTTTACAGCAACTTATTTTCAGCACACCCTCCGTTTCAGATAGATGCAAATTTTGGTTTTTCTGCTGCTGTATCAGAAATGCTAGTTCAGAGCACTCTAAAAGATCTCTACTTGTTGCCTGCGCTTCCAAGGGATAAATGGCCAACTGGTTGTGTCAAAGGACTGAAGGCTCGAGGTGGTTTGACAGTCAATATTTGTTGGAGCGAGGGAGAGTTATGTGAAGTTGGGCTTTGGTCAGATGACACCTCTTCTATCAAGAGATTGCACTATAAAGGTACTACTGTTACAACACAGATTTCTCCCGGTAAAGTCTACAGTTTTGACAGGCGATTAAAGTGCCTAAGCATACTTTCTCGTAAGTAGTTAGTAGATTTCTTCCATCATACTTGGATTACTCAACACATATAGATGCAGGGAAGAAGCTCTAGCATTATGGCCAAGGGAATTATTCATTTTGCTACTATTCTTGTTAATTCTTTCAAGGAACATAGTTCCTCATTACTGGTGCTTACATTGATTTAGAAATTTTGTATCATCAACTTTTATCTTGAAAGCAATGATAAATTATTGATCAGGAGCATTAACAATGGATCGTAAATTAAGTGATTCATGTTTACAAACAATATTAACTTGGGTGGACTGAAGCAGAATTCCACATCCAATGTAATGGTTGTCATTCGTGTACGTTTACAGTAGCAGTTTTTCAGACAATTATAGGTCCTCTGTTTACAAATTCGGCCATATCTTTAGCTTGTCATTCTTTGCCCCTAAGATAGATGAGCAGATCATTCGTAAATTGTGGTAACTAAGGTCAGATTATACTTGAAGCAGTTGAAGGAGCAAGGGTGAGTTGTTTTTTCTAATAGAGGTGACAGGTGAGTGAAGAAAATTAGTGGTATAATTAATAGTGAATGGGTCCTTTGCTCACATATAACAATCAATCATTGAACAAATTTCAGAACTAAATATAAATTTGAAGGTAATTTAAAAATGATGGATATGCATTAAATAATATTTAAGCCAAATGACATGTAATTATAAGGACTGTTGTAGACCCATAATGTTAGCTGAACAACTAAAAATAATTACTCTCAGTTTATGAAGCAAATACATTGATTATGACCACCTTTGACATTATTACATGAATGACAATGATCATTTTACATTCTGCAAGGATAAATAGAAGTCTTAAAGACCAGAAATCTCACAAAAGAAATTGACAAATTAGTATGACAACATAACCGTTTAAGAGGACAACTCACAAAAATTATAAGAGGATGACAAGTGAGGCAAGTTAGATATTATCCAAAACCTATCTAGTTTATTAACATGAGACAACTATGAAAGTTTTTTAACAAATGTAACATTTCCGGTACAAAACAATTTGACATCCAAAATAACAATCTTATCGATAGTCTAATGTAATTCGCTCTTCTTTTACATGTTACATAATCACATGGATCAAGTGGTGCATCCCTACTACGGCTACTAGTAAATTTCACCATATCCAGTATGACCAACCCGTATGGTGCATTCTCAAAGCTCAAATCTAAGGCAATTGGTTAAATTAGAATAACTTTCTTACTAGGTGGTCCAAACAATTGTTATTGTTGTTGATATGTACACGTAAGTAGCAAAGCATAATTTATGCTTATTATATTTTTCAAAATTTTTTTTAAAAAATGGCTTGAATGTATTCATTTTTATAGTTATAATGTCTAACAAAGAGATAATGGGACCATTAGAAAGAAGGGAATGCAAGTTGCATTGCAATCAAACTAAACCAAAAATCCTCTCAAGTTCATTTTCCAAAACGTGGAAGGAAATCAATCCAGCTAGATGCGTCCCTTTCACGAAAGATATTATCTTAACCACTTCCTTGAGGCATCATCACTAGCTACTATATCACACACTTAATATGGCCCATGCAGATTGCTGATATATGTATAGCTTATTTTCAAAAACTTTACGTGAGGTGAAATTAAACACGTAATCCTTATACATACGAAGTGTAAAGTTAATATGAAGTACAAAGTTAATACGAAGTGTAAAGTAAATAGGGGCTAGAAAAGTATACAGAATATGATAAATTTAAGTTTACGTATACATTTTATAAATATGATTCTCATCCAATCATCCAAAAATTGGTTTTATTAGACTGCAAGAGGGTAACTACGCAACCAACAACATGAGTTGTGCCTTTTTCTTAGCTCAAGGAATAAAATTTGTCATTTAACACTCAGATTTTGGGAACAAGAAGAGATAGGGTTTGTGCAAAGCTGCAAATAGTTTCACATAATTATACATGTTTACATACTACATTATTGTAACATCAGCAAACTACTACACAGACCATGAGACCAATATAAGCATGATTTACGTCAAAGTTATCCTAACAATTCATAAATATTAAATTACCGAAAAACAGTTAAGAATTTCCAGTAAAAAGTTCTGAAATTTTGGTGGACAAATTACATCATTCACAAGCTCCAAAAACTAAACATTATTCATGAAGCAAAGGACCACATCACTAGAATATCAACTCCATAATTCAAAATATAAACAAACAAACAAAAAAAAACCCAATTATGTTATGCCAAAGGGGCAATATATTATATTAGACTCACCTTAGAATATTTTGCATTATTGATTATTATAGCATGGATCCTCTCCAACTCTCTCTTCTTCTTCCTCTATGTCTTTTCCTATCTTTTTCTCTTTTGATATTGGGTCATTTTGGGGCGATGGAGGAACGCGGTGATTGGGGAGTGTCAAGGAAGCCATGGGAGAAAGAATTATGGAAACCTTCAACAAGTTTGGTAATGGGAGATGAAGAAAGTAGGCCTCTTAAAATTATCTTCAAAAGGCCAGCTAGAAATTGGACTGATGCTCTTCCTATTGGTAATGGACGTTTTGGTGCTATGGTACATGGTGGTGTTTCATCTGAGATTATTAATTTAAGTGGTATGTCATAATTTGCTCTTAATAGCATTTTCATTCTTTAAGAATTAGCGGTAAAATAACAGCATATTCACAAATTTAACATATACATATATACTTGAACATATTTTATGTCATCATTAGTAATGTTGGCCTTTTAAGAGGTTCAAAACATGCATACATCAACAAAAAGTATATTCAATTAAAATGGATAGTCAAAGTATTGTAACATAGATTTGGTCTGTCATAGTGTGATAGAAGTTTAAACATGACTAAACAAACCTTGATGCATTGCACAGATGACACACTTTGGACCGGCATCCCAGGAAACTACACAGATCCAAATGCTCCAAAGGCGCTAGCAAATGTGAGAAAGCTCGTCGATACAGGAAAATATTCGGAAGCTACTGCTTTCGCAGACAAGGAGCTCTCAGGAGATTCATCTGATGTAAGTTCCTCTTCCAGAGCTATTGCTGTTAAATGTACAAAAAAAAAAGTGTTAACTCGCTTTGAGACAAAAGGATTATCTTCCACTAAGCATAGTTTATAACTTATAATGCTGAGGTTGTAATTTATTTTGTTAAGTTTGTTACATGTGAAGGCTTACCAACTTTTGGGCGATCTCATACTGGACTTTGAAGACCACAATTCTACACACATTGAACACATGTACCATAGGGAGCTAGACCTGGATACTGCAACTGTTACTGTGAGATACTCTGTTGGTGATGTAGAGTTCACAAGGGAACACTTCGCTTCAAATCCTGATCAGGTGATTGTGACCAAGATCTCGTCGAGTAAACAAGGTGCTCTCTCCTTCATAGCCTCTTTGGATAGCAAATTGGATCATCATTCTTACACTAATGACAAAAACCAGATCATTATGGAAGGGAGTTGCTCCGGCTATCCAAAGGGAATTCAGTTTTCTTTGGTTCTTAATTTGCAAATAAGTGGTGTAGGAGGTATAATACATCATCTAGAAGGACAGAAAATAAGAGTAGAAAAGGCAGATTCTGCAGTCATACTTTTAATGGCATCATCTTCATTTAATGGGCCATTCACTAAACCTTCAGATTCAAAGAAAAACCCGACTTCAGAAGCTCTCAGTAGGATGAATTCGGTATATAACATTCCATACTCCACTCTTTATGCCCGTCATCTGGATGACTATCAGAAACTATTTCACCGTGTTTCACTTCAGCTATAAAAAATCAGCAAGGCAGACGAAAAAATTTCTACAGCAGAGAGAGTGCAATCATTTCAGACTGATGAAGATCCTTCTTTGGTGGAACTGTTATTTCAGTATGGTCGATATTTATTAATTTCTAGTTCGAGACCAGGAACTCAGCCTGCAAATCTGCAAGGGATATGGAGTAAGGATGTCTATCCACCTTGGAACGGAGCTCCTCATCTGAATATCAATCTACAGATGAACTACTGGCTTTCACTTTCTTGCAACCTTCATGAGTTACAAGAACCAGTGTTTGATTACTTGTCTGCCCTTGCAATTAATGGGAAGAAAACCGCAAGTGTAAACTACAAAGCTAGTGGTTGGGTTGCACACCAAGTGTCTGATATATGGGCAAAAACATCACCTGATAGCGGGCAAGCAGTCTGGGCCTTGTGGCCGATGGGTGGGGCTTGGCTTTCGACCCACTTATGGGAACATTATACCTATACAATGGATAAGAACTTTCTAGAAAACAAGGCATACCCATTACTAGAAGGTGTAGCTTCATTTTTGTTGGATTGGTGGATAGAAGGAAAAGATGGGTACTTAGAAACTAATCCTTCAACTTCCCCTGAACATACATTTACAGCATCAGATGGTAAGACTGCAAGTGTGAGCTATTCGTCAACCATGGATGTGGCTATAACTAAAGAAGTCTTTTCCATAATTGTTTCTGCTGCTGAAGCATTGGGAAGAACTGGAGATAATCTTGTCAGAAATGTTTTAAAGGCTCAGGCAAAACTACCACCTTATAGAATCGCTAAGGATGGCTCTCTAATGGAATGGGCTCAAGATTTCGAGGACCCTGATCCACATCATAGACATGTATCACACTTGTTTGGTATATTTCCGGGGCATTCGATAACTCCAGAGGAAAATCCTGATATTTGCAAAGCTGCAAATTACAGTCTTTATAAACGAGGAGAAGAGGGTCCTGGGTGGTCTACGGTGTGGAAAGCTGCACTGTGGGCACATCTGCGTAGCAGTGAGCATGCTTACCGGATGGTCAAGCATTTGTTTGACTTGGTGGATCCTGACCGTGAGGGCAGCTACGAAGGAGGGCTTTATAGTAATTTGTTCGGGGCACACCCACCTTTTCAAATTGATGCAAATTTCGGATTTTCTGCTGCTATAGCAGAAATGCTTGTTCAGAGCACTGTAAAAGATCTTTACTTGTTGCCCACACTTCCAAGAGACAAATGGACTAATGGTTGTGTCAAAGGATTGCGGGCTCGGGGCGGCGTGACAGTTAATATATGCTGGACTGATGGAGATCTGCATGAAGTTGGTCTTTGGTCAAATGGGTCTAATTCTGTGAAGAGACTAAATTATAGAGGTACTACAGTCATGGCAAACATCTTACCTGGTACAGTATACACATTTGATAGGAAATTGAGATGTGTGAACGCACAATCTCTCCTATAATTCTTTCTTTTATACATACAGAAAGGAATCAACCCTGATCAGGGTCTTCATTTTTCAATTGCTTGCTGAAAGCTGATTCTTCAGAGTGCCACTTCTCATTTCTGATGTTCATGAGATATACATATAATATATATGATTTTTTTTACCTCTATCCTCCAAGAACTATTGATTCCGAATTACTAAAAGCAATAAGCACAAAATTATTTTCCTCTTTCATTCTCTCCAAATTGAAGTATGAAACTATGGAGCATCAGAAAAGGAAGATTGATACAGCAATTGATAAGAATATCTATGAATTATCAGGAAAAAGGAGATTATTATCTCCTATACTGGAGTTCAAATCTCCAAATATACTAAAAGGAGGCAAGATAATGTCCAAAAATATTACTTGCCTATCAGCTAAATAAATCACTCAAGCCTGTCAGAAGCACTGTTAATTAACATAATTTCACAGTAAAGCAGGAAAAAAATCTCAAGAGCTTGTGATTTTTGGGGGGCTGGTTGCAAAAAAGCCAGCTAGATCAGAAGAAATAAGACAATTCAATCCTAGATACCCCAAAAACGATTTCCTTGTATTTGTTCAGACAGAAGAGAATCTCTTTCCGTCACACTACATAGCATTGCAGATAAATCATTTAAATTCTCTGATGTATACAAGTATAATGGAAAACTTTCCAGTCTCAAAATCACCTGAAAACTAGAGGACTTTGAAAATCAAAGATGTTAGTTATCTTGATGGTGGGGTTGGTCATTATCAGCTTCATCAGCTCCATAATCTACCCATGGAAGCAATGATTCAAATAACACAACCAACGGACTGCGATCAGCCAACTCGCGTGGGGCACGAACCTGCACATTGGCACCCTGCTCCTGATTTTCTACCATCTCTCTCATCCTTGGGTCTAGCACCATGAAATTTTGCAGGTTTTCAGGTGGCATGGTGGCTACAGTATCAGAGAATTCTGAAACCATCAAATGTCCATACCTGAAAAGTAAGGAGACAATATAAGGGAAAATCATTGCAAGAAAAAAAATAAAATTTGTATCTAAACCACAAAGGTAGTTCAAACATGGTAGTGCTATGATTAATCAATTACAGATGACTTGGAAATCAAATGTCGCATAATATTTCAGCATATGATGTAATTTCTTTGTTAATTTTCTAACTCCCTATATATGCCACCAGCATGGGACTGTATGCTCCAAATTCAGATAAATATGGCCAGAAACCTCAACAGTCTCATTTGCACAATTTATATCATGATCAAAATAAATACCATTGAAGTGTTGAAAATCACTTTTAAAAATAACCAGAAACAAAACTCATGAGAGAGAGAGAGAGAGAGAGAGAGAGAGAGAGAGAGAGAGAGAGAGAGAGAGAGAGAGAGAGAGAGAGATTATTATATTTAGGGGGAAGGGGAGGTAAACCAGGTGGTCATTAAGTCACGGGCTCACAAACCAATTTCTTTCATTATTGTAAGACTTACTCATTCTTGTCTGAGGGAAACGCTTCTTTTCTAACACAAGCCCATGTATTAGCTTCACTTGAATCATGCTTCAGAGATTCAATCACACCTAGAGCAGCATCCTTCAACAACTTCTGCACGCCAGGCAGCCTCCAAATGATGTAACTTCTCTCAATATATATCCTGATTAGGTGATCCAAAGATGGAATTCCTGTATCTTCAGATTTGAAGAAAGGATTTTTCGTTATGGTTGTCCATGCCTGGTCTTTTAAGGGAACCTTATCCACTAGCTTCCTAAGAACTGGAGGGTGAAGCATCAAAGCCTGCTTCATCAGACCAGATGAAGTCTCTATGTCTTGCAAATTCTTACCATTCTTGGCAGTTGAGTCACGCTCAAGAAACAACTGACAAATGGCAAGAGAATAAGCAAAGTTTGGAAAGTTCCATAAAGAGTTGTCACTTTGATACTCATCAGAAAATTGTTCTAACCATGCATATTCTTCTGCCCTCAGGGAGAAGTAATCAATACAGAACATCGCACCCATGGGATCTGCAGGATCAAGTGAAAGTAGTAATTTGCAGACTTCTAAAGCAGATCGATGACAACCACGCCTGTCTAAGTTCTTCATGTGACCAAAAAGTGTAGAAAACAACGGCTTGTTTGTTTCATGGGTACATTCCAGTCGGCAATCTCCCTGCAAGGGACTGAACATAGGATGCCATGCACACTCCAAAGCATACAAACATTTAGCAATAGCATCTGCTGCCATTTGATGTTCACCTGTAAATCTAAAGTAATCTGCCAATGTCATAAGTGACTCCACATGGTAAGGATGGTGCATCAAAATGCTTGCCACACCATTCAGATCATGGGTTGCCTTGGCAGCTTCAAAAGCCCTTTGAATGTGGCTGTACGAAGCTGAGTGCACATATCTACATCATACAAGGAAATAAGAGTAAAGAACTACAAAATCATAGCAACATATTACAATTTTCTGCTACTTATTCTGAAGCATAAAGCCATAAACATTAAAACGTCAAAGCAGAACACCTCATTAATTGTTCACAATTTTAAAAAATTCCTGGAACCTAGCTCATAAGTTTTAGCTGAGTCTGCGATAAAAACGCCAAATCATAATATTTCGCAGTATAACTTGGAAGTTGTAACTGAACCGCTGGTAAAAGGGTTTAGTATTAATATTGTCAAGGCAATATACGAAAATGAGTTGTTTTTCAGAGTAGGAGATGTATTCCTCTCCTCATGAGAGGACATAGGTATTAAATTCCAACTAATAATAGGTGAAACAAGTTTGCCACCAAAATTGATCTACAAATTTATTTCTGATACAAAAGGTTTTACAGACCCTAAGTGCATTGAGCATCCATCTTCCCTTTATAGAGAAAAGATAAACCCTCCCCATGCCCACCTTTATCAACAATCTATCACCCAAAGGCAGCAAGCTGCAGCACAGAAACCAACACAATATGTTCAAATTCTACAATGGCAAATTGACTAAATCCACATTACTTGGTTAAAGATATTGTGCAGCTATTAATTATGGAGAAGGGAACAGAGATAGCAACAGCACAAAAGAAGGGAGCGGAGATTATGGAGACTCAACAAGCAACTAAATTGTAACATAATGCAGTAAAGCATTTTATGAATATGACAAATAAAAAAGATATCTACCTAAAGTAATTGTTCCCGTCTTTAGTCTCTAAAAGCTCCATTGAAAGAGACCCATCCCATCGCGGCCAGTGACCATTTGGGGAGACAAGAATACACTTTTTGTGGCTGTACAATCCACGTCTTCCACCACGCACTTGCCTAGAAGTGCTGCCTTGATTAGCGTTCTCAAACGAGCTCACTACCTTTGAACCAAATATTCTTCGTAGCTCATATTCAGCATTCAAGAACTTAGGATCCACCTTCAGAATGGAGGATTTGAACTGTTTAATAACAGTATCACGAGCTCTGACATTCTTACTGGAACTAGCTTCAGGAGCAGAATCAATATCAAGAGATAAAGCTTCTATATCAATCTCCACAGACTTTTTAGATCGATCAGCATTTGAGAGTGAAGCCTCTTTGTTTTTCTTCTTTTTCTTCTTCTTAGATTTCTTATTAGATGCTGGAACAGTAGGGGCATAGCTTCTCACAACAGATCCCGAATCATTGATCTTATCATCCAAGGCATCATCTATGGCACTGGACTCATCTTCCTGCGGCAGTAATAGAGAAAAAAGTCATATGATTGAAGAACAGTAAATCATAAATTCATGCTACCAACTGCTGAGGAGACAAAAAGTGCTTCTTATATGCAGTTGGTAAAAAGTCCAAGCACAGGGACTCAGGAAGTAATTCTCCTTTTTCCAGTAGTGATCTTATTCTTCTACATGAGATAGACAAATGGATCTTTCATCTCATGAAAAGAACTTTGTTATCTAAATGTTTATTCAACGTGCAGCAAAGAAACAGAACCTGGTCATTCTCATGGTCATCATCATCATCATTGAGGAGATCAAATGGATTTTTAGGTTGAGCATCAGAGTCAGACTCATCATCATCAAGTTCCTCCTGAAGCTCTTCTGCAATAACATCACCCTCTTGTTTCTGACTTTGCTCTTGTTCCTTCAAAACTTTTCTTAATAGCCGACCAGACATATTCCCTGGATAATATAGAATTATAGAATAGGTCAATGCTATCAAGCAAGTAAAAAAGAAAGGGTGAAATGAATTGGCAAAGATATATAGCATCTTGCAAAAAGAGTAAGCAACACAACGATCTTTTTAGATGCCAGTAATAAGTGCCTCAAAATTACTATGGTTTACAGAATGAGTAAGGCTGCGGGAAAAATGAAGGACTTAAGAGTCAAGACTCAACTTCATTTTCCATCTTTCAGACACCTAAACATTCAATTTTAAGTGGCTGATGAAAGATATTTCGATATACATAAGCAATATACCAATATTCAGCCTTCGGAAAGGAGAAAAACTTTACAAAAACCAACCACTAAACACAGGAAAAGATTTTATCCTCAAAGGAAGCAGCAAATGCTTCTCCATATCTCATTGACATGCCATACAAAATCAACAAGACATGTTTACCATCCTTGTTCATTACATGGAAGCAAATAGGCAATGCCAGATTCTAATTCATCCAGACTCTGGTACCTTTACTGCCACAGACAAGTACAACCTCATTTATCACATGGGACACAATGTAAGACCATGTTAGATACCTAAGTGTGTAATACTTCAATAAAGTGATCAAACTAAAATGTAATTCATATTATACTTGGGTACTTCCCCTCCAGGCTCCAGTTACCTTAGTCACTACATAGCTTGAATTAAACCTTGCAAAACATTAGTTCCAAAGTCAAGCAATGTTAAACCTCCATTTATCCCCAATGTCACTCAAAAGACCAAACTACAACGCTTAAATACCAACACATCAATTTTACAGCATAAAAAAATTGCCTTGTCAGATCAATTTCCATGTTCGATTCAAACCCGAGTTACATGGCTGGAATTTAGCTTTGTTTTAAGAACTTCTGATAGGTTTTCAAGAATTCAATCGTATTTCGGACCACAGCTCGCCACAAAACAGAAATAATACAATGTAAAGTTCAATGCAGGAATTCTCTTCCAAGACCCTCAAAATACTATTGCTCAATTGGGTACATCTGATTAAAAAAAAATCCACAAAAACACTCATATATAGCAAAAACACTTCAAAATTATTAGAAAAACCTTAAAATTACGTAATTAACTGAAAATAAACGAAATTAATACCTTACCTGGAGATTAAGATTATCCCACCTTGGAATTAATGTGGGGGAAAAGCAATTTCAACTGCGGAACAAGAAAAAGAGCATAAAACAGTTAATTTTTCAATAAATTCGTTAAATTTGGGGTTTAATGCCAATAAAAATTTATAGCAGAAGATATGACAAGAATTAGAGAGGAGTAGGATTGACTTGCCTGAACCCAGAAAATGGATAAACAAGAAGAAATGATCAAGAATCTCAAGATTTTAGATGATGGGTAAGTAATTTGAAGATTATGGATGAACGAAAATACAAAAATTGAAAACGGAGGTGTTTTCAGCTGTAGTGAGTCGGCGACGCCGAGGCCTCGAGACAAATGCTGCGAAGAAAAATTTGATTACCACGATTTTTATTTTTTTATTTTTTTTGAAACGTCAAAATGACTCAAATACTTTCTGCACATTTTTTCGTGACTTGGAAAATGCAGCACACAAGTCAAGGCGTTTTGTCAATGTCGATCTCGACTTAAGCTTTTAATTACCAAAAATGATCTCTTGAACTATAATTGAGCAATAATCGCATCTCGAAAATCGAAGCATATTGAAATTGAGACAATTCCTTACACACAAATTGAGATATTTATGGGTTATTTTGTCAATAAAGGGTAAAATGGGAAAAATCATGCTACTCTCATGAATTTAATGACGGAAAAATTGAGTCAACGACTAAAATCCGGCGAGTGGTACCTTCTCACAAAAATAAGCTTTAATAGGTAAGCTTTATCAATTTTTTTAAGGCAGTTTGTAGCAAAAATCAAATTTATAAGGTTGTTTTCAACAAATTTTCCTTTTTTTTAGATCTATAATCAAGTCTCAAGTCATTGTTAGATATGGTGACAAATTTTCATCATGCACTCATGCTCCTTGATGGTAACAAATTGGCAATTGCTTATATAATGTAACGTGTGGTAGAGCTATGGATGGGCAAGACAAGAGAGAAATTAAAAAATCTTTCAATCTTAGCCAAAGTAGTGAGTAACTTGTCATGTGCTACAGTCGCCCTGACACAATTTCCAAGTGATTAGGTTTTTATCCCCTCCCAATTGTTGTTGCGGATGATCGAACACAGGTCTTTCCTTCCAAGTGTAGTCTCAATCACCACTAAACCAATAACCAATTGGTAGGCAACCTCCCTATGTCAGTGCTTTATTAATACATGTGTTTGTGATGCAAGTTAGTGTCATCATTTCGTGTTATTTCCTCTATTCATTAGCTTATTGCGTATATGAGAATGACCAATGTAGATCGAGCCTCGAGGATTAACCACATAGGATCTACCATATTGTCTACCAATCCTACAACCGCTAGATTAACCGCATCTCTACTTCGTGCTCCGAGTATACCCAATTTCTCCGTTCTCTCTCAATTAAACATCTTTCTCCACCAAAACCCTGCAAAACCCTTTTGCTTGTCAATACTCAACATACACACCAATAAAAATGGCTGCAAGATTTGGTTCATTGTCAAGGTCTTTCATGTCTTCTGCTCGAACTTCCACTCTCCGTTCACCACCATCTCTCCTCCGTCCTCCTCCTATCTCCTCCCCTCGCCTCCGCCCTCGCCGCCCCTCCTTCGCTCCTTCCAGGTCTCCCTCAACTCCGTTTTCTCTCTCTTCCTTTTCACCACTATTTTCATCCACATTTTACTTAATGATTATTATGTTGCTCTATTTTGGTTCAATTTATTTAATTTGCTGAAATGACTTATGGGTATTTTTTGAAATTGAATTTTGATTTAATCCCTGAAATGTAGATTTTGAATAAAAATTTTGTATTAGTTGGGTTAATATAATGTTAGTTAGTTGACTATGTAGCAGATAGTTGAAGGGTGAACATAAATTATTGTCTTGGTTGTTATTTATTGTATCTTAGAATCAATGTAGGTTCAATTTTGAGTGTGTGATTCATATGTAAATGTGTATGATTCCTGGGAACTTTGTTGCAATTAATTTGGATTTCTAAAAATGTGATCTTTGAATAAGGATGTCGTTTTATTAATGCATCTGATATTCAGAGGCTAAATGCAACATCTTTGATTTGCTGGTTGTATTATATCTAATGATCAATGTTGTTTAATTTTGTGTTTCTAAATTGAATTGTAACTTTATTTGTTTGTAGAAACTTTGGAGAATTAGGATGCACGCAGTCATTGCTTCCTTTCAGCTATGCTGCAACTTTGCCTGGACGCCTATCTACTGAATTGCGAGTATCCGAACTCTTCCATGGTACCTTTTGCCGTTCTTGTCAGGATCGCTAGTAGTTAATTTGTGAGTCCATTTCTAGGACATTTTTTTTGTGATAATTGCCATGCTATCAAATTGACATCCAATTTATATGTATTATGTTTGTTAATTGAAACAACATTAATATTACACTATGCTGTTTAGACCAGTTAAGAATTCAGAGAATAAGATAACTTAGTTAACATTGCTTATCTACTTTCGTCTTTATGCTGGATTTGGTTGTTGAGAATTGTTGTGATTGGGAATTATAGGGAATAATGGAGAGGATGGGTGATGTTGCTTGGAAGCGTCGATCATCGAAAGGACAGAGGTGCTGCATCTTTAGGTTATTATCTTCTTTTGATATTGCTCCCCAGCATTTAACATGTTTAAATTACTATTTATTTTTTCCTGGATTACTCTTGGCTATTATTAATTGTATCAAATTTGAAATCATTACAAAACATAATTTGTTAAAGGAAAAACAATTATAGCTGATTACTTGAGATTGATGACTTCCTGCCAGAAAACAGGAAAGAAGGCTATATATTTATGGACATTCTCATTGTTGTTAAAGACATTATGCCTTTGTTTTTTGTTTGTTTGCGTCAAGCATATCTTAGCTATCTGTCTCACAGTATAATGCAAGACCGCAGACTTCTACACATTACTTTTCCTTAATCCTGTAAATAGTTACCTATTGTATGCTTTGAACTTCTCATTGCTCGTATTAATACTGTTTTTTCCATTTTCACAGTTTTATGCTTAATCGTGTTTTACTTCTCAATGTATTCTTCACCTTGGATTTGGAAGATTTTTATATATGATTCTTGATTCATCCTTAAATTTATTACCCTATTATATGGAAATTTATATGATATATTTTGTTGGAGTTTCTTGTTGAAACCTATAATGCCCGTATCTTCTCTCTTTTACCAGTTCAATTCAGATCCCATGGTGATGTCAATATGTATTGCCTTACTTCTTTGCAAATTAGTGGTCTGGTATTATGTTGGACGAATAACCAAATTGGCAACTGGAGTATGAAAAGTTGGTGTGTTGAGGATTGTATGAGTTATAGCAAGTCAATACACTAGCTTTTTTGGATTTGGTGTGCCATGCAATATTGGTACTTCTATCTTCTGAAGAGGACATGTTTACTTAAACCTAGCTAAAAGTTAGTTACTTTAGAGTCTTGAACTTGGGTTTGATTGAAAAGCCACAAGCATATTTCTAGAAAGTATAGTGACTTAGCTATATCCTGTTTTCTACAAGATGAAGATCTTTTGCATCATATCAAACTACTAGAAATTTCTCCCTCCAATCATCTGGAAATTTTCATAGGTGTCTTGAAGGATTAAGCTAATTCAAGCTTGGGGTTGAACAGGCATACCATACTTAATTAGATCCATTACATAATCTTTTTTTCGGAGGTTAGCCGGGTTGCCTTGCCATGTAATATACTATTTATGTTGAAATGTCGAGTAATAATAAGGAAGCGTTTCAATGTAATGATTATAGTTTGTTGGAGAGAGTTATAGCAGTGAGGCAATCATCTTTTAATCATGTTGGACGATATACCCTTAAAAACTAACAATACCTTTTCCTAGCATATTTGAATACTTCTTCTGTTCTTCATCACTTAATTCTTTTCATACTTTCATTCCCCAAAATGCCTTATGGGCACAAGCCCCAATGATGCCTTCTCTCTCTCTCTCCTAGAGCTGCATTTAATATTTGTCCCCAATCCAACTAAGATACTCATTTAAAGTAGAGGGAGTTTGTAAAGAGCTACATCCTCTTCCACAATTCCACATAGAACCTATTTCTCACACCTTAACCAATGCCCCCTTCCCACCTCATCCTTTGGCATCATACACTGCTCTCCGCAATGTTTTCCTCATGTCTTTCCCTTCTCTGTTCGCCTCGTGACTCATTCTTGTCCCTTTTTACCCCCATTTGTCATAAATCTCAGCAACACAATAATTTCATGTTGATTACCATATCTCACTTCTCACCTAATACCTGTGACTCTATGAGCTCCTTTATTTTAGCCTACTACACGCGAGTCCACACTTGAAGAACATTATGGTAAAAAGATTTATTTTCAACTTTCTGGAGGCTATAATCTTCCACCATCACCACAGCTTTTCCACCACAGATTCAGTGATAGTTGGGGCCTCTGTGGGTGAAGGGTTATTAGGAGAAAGGTACAATAATTCAGTGTTGGAACATCTTGTCTTTGATTTGTGTAAAGATGGAGTAAGAATGATGGAAAGTTAAATCTGAGGATATCTATAGGTGTGCAAATTAGCCAATCGGAAAGGATAAAGCACAAAAAGATGGGAGGGGTGGGGGGGGGGGGTGACAACATTGATAAGCTATTAAAACAACTCTTGTACCCGAAAGCACACATGTACATGTGGAGACTTGTCATGTATTTAATCTTGTGAGATGGTTGAGAACTTTATAGGTTTTGTTTGACTCCTGGTTTTGTAATTTTATTCATTGTCCGTTTTGGGTGGCAATTCAGGTCAATGGACCAGGCTCAAGTTTAGTTTCAGGTTGTGTCCCTAAAAAAAAAGGCTAAATGTGGTTCAGGTTTCTCTCAGTAAATCTAGTTCGGGTCAGGTCAAGCCAATTCTATTGCTTCTGTTGCCAACACCTAGAGTCTTTCCCGGATAACAAGAGTCCTCCCTCCTCCCCATATTTTTCAAGACATACATTGTAAATTTACAAATACCACCGGGAGTTTCTTGATTGTTTTTAACTTTTAATTACTCTAATTTTTCAAAAAAAACTTTTTCCTTTGGTTCTTGGCAAATTGAACAATGATTTGGAAATGGTAAGGGACCATTTACATGCATTTGTCTTGTATCTTGTGGCATTCTATCCTTTGCAGAATAGATTTAAAGGAGTGTCAGAAAATAAAGGGATGTGTAAAATGCCTTCAAGGGTGTTTGTATTCTTCTTACTATAGTCAGAAATCCTATTTGATTCTTATACTATGATTTGAATATCTTTTCAGGTAAGCTGCTGTCCGTAATATTTGGGCTTTGACATATCCCAAAAATGACAGTAATTATCCCATGCTACATGCCAAAAAGTAGTGCTTGTTGATTTTCAATAGATGGCGCCCACTTTCTAACTATTTGCCTTGAGCACCAGCCTATGGTCCTAAGCTCCATCTCTGGAATGAGAACACAGCTGTTGTCAGTTTGTTTGTTTTTGTTTTTGTTTTTTTGTCGAGCAAG